GTCATACATAGTCTGTGAACCTTCTGCCTTGCCCCCTTGCCCTGTTCCGTGCGAACGCCAATAATACATGACACAATTAACTCAAAGGATACATTACTTGTTCACCTTTTTTTTTTCCTTCTTTCGGTGTCGTCGTCGTCGTCGTGGACCTGTCTGTTACGCTGGCAGGAACTGCCGTCACAATCGTCGCCCAACTCTGCTGCATCTCGCCTTCCATTCCAAACATCCGCTGCCCGCCTCAACAAAATCGACAAACAACCTCCCGAACTTGAAAGACAAGACAAACAAAAAAAAAAGGAAGGGACAAGTGGACCTCTGTGTTGTTGAAACATCTGGGACACGTTCTTTTTCGGCTGTACATAAAAAGGCCCTGTGCTCCCTTTGCATCCCACAATTCATCTCCAACTCAACCAGCACTCATATAAGCCCTTTTCCACAAAGACAAGCTCATAATCATACAACACTCAACACCAAGGAGCCTTACCAAACTACTTTATACACACACACACACACACACACTTCAGTACATACACCAATCTCATTTCACAACGTGAGTACTTGCGCTCCACAATACTTGGCCTACTTTGGGGGCGATACTGACATAATCAGCTATTCATCCTCATCCCATCACTTCTGAAGTTCTGGGTGAGGCAGATAGCAGAGACAAGAAACCAATCATCACCATTTTCAACACTATCGCCAGGACTTTATTGAGAATCCCTTCCTTCTGTCACCATGGCCGTTAGTACCAGCTGCGCCCACTCTTTCAAGATGATCAAGTCAGACAACTCCCTCATTCAATGGGCATGTAACATGTGCCACTCGGGTCCGCACTGGTGGATATTTGAATGTCGGTATTGCAAGGTTCACATGTGTCGTGCCTGCGCGCACAACGTCTAGAACCAGGTGGAAACCCTCCCAGAGACATGTTGATGTGCGGCCGAGCATTGGACTCTGGGTCAGGGAGGTGAAGTCTTCTGAGAACAGGTACGTAATGCAGCTCTTCAAACAAACCGAGCCAGCAAGGACAGGCTAGGCTGGAGATGGTGCAAAGCAAAGAAACTCAAGAGGCATGCATCCGGTCTCGGATATGCCTTTATGCCCAAAGGCTCTATGCCTCGACTGTCCCGTCTTGCAAAAATAATCATAACCTGGCATCTGTGGCCCGGTAGGGCGGAGGCAAGTTCGAATGCTAATTTTTTTTATTTCCTCCATTGCAGTATTTCAAACGGCCACCGCCTCTGTCAATGCACAATCATCTCATCGACGAATGAGAAGCAATTCGACAAGATGCAGGAAAAGCAATACGCCAACCTGTCAAGTAGGGATAGCCCTGGGACCACGTTTCAATGTCTCAAAGGGGGGCAGGAGATGACCTCTGGAGCTTTCCAAATGCGATCTTTCGGTGACGAAGGTCGCTCGTCTCTGTCTGCGTCTCGGTTGAGTGAGAGAGAGGGAGAGAGCTCTTTTGTCGGTCTGCACGTCATTCCCTGAAGCGGTTGCTTCCCGAGACATTTCGACCCAACTACCGGGAGGGGAAACGGCACGCGAGACTTCTCCTGTCATTCACTTCTTACTGTCCTCATTCTTTCACTCTCGTCTTGTACACCGCCAAATACCCACCCAGGTCAAGCTTTCATCTTACAAACGATGACATGACATGTTTCGTCATTTGATTTTTCTTCCTTTTCGTTTCTAGAGCACTCGGCGGCTTTCGTGCTTTCTTCTCTCCTCTTGCAGCCCGGGATGCACGGCAAGTTCCCGAGATCGGGGGCCCGCTGTCGTCCTGGTGCATCTTTGTATCGCAAGCCTTTTTTTGCTAGATTCGTTTTCTGAGTAACAGTGGAACGGGTCATTCCACTAGTTTCAGGCACCTTTGTTTTGTCTGTAATTGTTATGGGCTTTTTGTTATTGCTTTTCCTTTTTTTCCCTCCCTCCCTCACCCTTGATTCTTGCGCTCTGGCGTTTGATGAAACGGGATACTGAGAGAAGAACTCAACCCACATACAGAGAAAGAGGGACAGAACTGGCGGTCAACGTCGTTTGCGAATCATCAACTTTATGGTTCCACGACCTTTGTTTTTTTCTTTCCCTCTCCTACTTTTCCATGATGCGTTGTTGTACCTCGGAAAATCACGTGTTCACTTCTTCAAGCAGGCTTTTCGTTTGGGATAATCAATTTCTGGAAGGCAAATATTTGTTGAGTGAGAACCCTCGGGTCCAGAGGCTAAATCATTGGGAACAGACAAAAGGAAAATGGGCATTAAAATTAGATCGTGTTTTCTTTTTCTTGTTTTGGGCGTACGCATAGGGGGGATTGTTGGTAGATTCAAAAGTTCTAGATTTTACATTGGGATCGTTTACTGTTCTACTTCTCTCCATGCCCAAACTTGTGTGCACAAACCTGTTATATTGCGAGTGCAGGTATGACATTGTCCCTTCAGTCATTTGAATGACGCCTTGTTTGAACTTTAATTCTTCTCTTCTCGCTTCTTCTTTCATCCAAGAGCAATCTTGCTCTCGCGGCCAGGAGCTCATTTCATTTGAGACGAACATTGCCTGTATCTCGTACGAGTTGGCGGTCCTTTTGATGTCGGTGTGTCCGTCACCGACATGACATTGAGCTTGTGTTCAAGTAGGACACAGGCTTTTTTTTTTTTTTTGTCTTTCTCTCCTCCTCCTCAATTCTCATTTGAAAGATGCATGGCGGATCTGCCGGGACTGCTCATCCGGTGCTGAGCTCGATGCCATGTCATATATAGTACTTATATGCCACGTTGCAACGACATATCTTCACCAAACATGCATGGATTGAAAAAGCCCTACGGTTCACTACTGCCTGACTTGAGGCTGATGGTGTACAACCTGGCAACCTGGACAGCCATCTGTTGATCGCCAGAATCCTTACCCACTCAAACGCATGTCTTAGTCGTCATGCGGGTAGGGCTGCAATGGAGAATTTACGCTGTGCAACGACCCGGAACACTACACGGTAAGGGACAAGCGTGTACATTTTTTTTCTTCTTCTTTTCTTTTAATCATCCCCAAAAATACTTGTCTCGCCGCCCTGTCAAAGTTTCAATATTCATGGGAGCCGACCCCATCGAGCCCGTCTTCATGAGATTTGTCCCTGACGAAATGAAACATCCAGTCAGTGGAGACGGCCAAGAAAGGAACAATTCCGCCCCAGCGTCTGTTCGGGCGGAGTCTCTCTGGCGGGTCATGATGGACAAAACCAGTCACGATGGCTCCCCCAAAGTTTGTCGTTGCACAACGTCACGGCAAGCCAACATATCGGATCCTTCCCCGGGCCTTCTAGGCGAGTTCTCCATCTATAGATTTTCCCACCTCATCTTTAGACGCGGCAGTGTTACCCTACAACCCAGGGCGAGTACCGGATCGCAACATCCGTGGGGACCACCATCGAAATAATATGGAAAAAGAACGATAGGCGAGAGATGTGTAACCCAGCCGTTTCCAGCCCTCCATCTATGTAACATGGTACAAGAAGTATTCGGTAGATCACAGTTGTGGGGGGGATCCTGCATTCGGGCAGACCGATCGTGAAAGGTATTTCGCCGACCAAACTGCCCTGCTCTCTTGGGAATCCATGTGTCTTTCTCTGTCTCGCTTCTCTTCTCCTTTCTTCTTCGTCTTCTCATGGTTCCAAGGTCGACTTGGCGGTGTGATCAAAGTGTATGCTCCCCTTGACCCCTTGTCTCTTACAATTGAGATCTTAATCCGGCCCCAGTTGCCATATATCCGGTGTTTGCGAAAAACCAACATCAGGAGAGGGAAAGTTTGCTGGTACCTAACTCGAAAGAAAGAAACGGCAAGAAAGAGCCTTTCCACAAGTTTTCTTCTCGTCTTCACTAGGATTTGTCGTACTTGGACCAAGCCCAAACATCTGTCGCTCATCGAGCCACCTCTTGACCGTGACTTGATTGCAGACGCCCACGTCAGACAAGCACTGCCGTCGCTGACCCTAGCACAAAGGCGTGTCGACCAAAGATGAGCAACCACTTGCTTCCATCATCGACCACCCCCCACCCCCCCTTCCCCCTTCCCCCACGGTCTTGTCATGAGCTTCTTGAGCACAGAGCCCGCCTCGCCCTCGGCAACGCGATCCCGTGGCCCAGTTGTCAATGTGGTTGAACAAGCAGCGGAGGGCGCATTTGGCTGTGAGGGCGAGAAACGCTGCTTGGCTTGTTGTCCTTTGTTCGTTGCGACTCTTTTGATTGACATTGCCTTTTGTTCTCGCCGCCCTCATTTATTCACGTCGACATCGGGGTTACCATTGCCATCTGGTGTATCATTTGTAGCCATTCATGGTTGGTGGCAAAAAAGAAAAAAGAAAAAAAAATCCAGCTTGCTCCCAAGAAATCCACTTCCCACGACAAATGTTGCAGACGACACCGTATCTATCCATGATGTCGTCGGGTCGAGGCCCTCGAAATGTTGACGAGTAGCATTGCCGCCCTCATCAAAGGCTTGGCTGGTTGTGACCGTTTGATAACGACCATGACGCGCCATCTTCTCTCTCCTTTCCCCCCCTGGACCCTTCGGCTTTACTCCCACTTTGCCCGCCCCATGACGTATGAGGTAAGATTCGCCAGCCAGCCCGGCAGTAGCCCAGCTTTGCCGCCACTGCTCGTCTTCTCCTCCGGGAGGTGTGGGCCAAGACGGGGCCCACTTCCCCGTCTCCGTCCTAGGGGAAACGAGAATGATCTCGTAGCCAAAGTGAATGCTAAAGCAATTTCCATAATCATCACGCATGCAATGAGCCGTGGCGAAGCTCCCCTCCCATGAGGAGTAATGTCATGTAAATGGACCTAAAACAGTAATAAGCGTACTTGGTTGATCATAGGGGACCCATAGGCAAAAAGAAAGAGGCAATCTTTTCCATAATTCAAGACTCTATATGCATCTGAGAAGAAGAAAAAATATTCGGCATTCGTATTTTTCTTCCTCCTTTTCAAATCATCCACTCAATTACTCCATCACTCTTTAGCGTTCAAGGACTTTTCCAAATCCTCAAACTCGCCACTGTGCTTCATCATGTCATAGAATTGTCCCTTGGCATCATAGAGCTCTCTGGGCGAACCAGTCCTTAAAAGTAGTGTCAGTAACAGGACAAATAATAATGCTATGAAGCCAAGTCAACTTACTCAATCACGCTGCCGGCACTCAAGACCACGACCTTGTCATAGTCAATAATGGTCTTGAGCCGGTGGGCAATGGTAACCAGGGTTCGATCTCGGCCGTGTTCGTTGAGCTCCTTGCGCAGCACCTGCTGGATGCCCTGATCGGTCTCGTAATCCATGCTCGCCGTCGCCTCATCGAGGAGCATGAGCTTACTCTTGCGCACCAAGGCTCGGCACAGGGACAGGACCTGACGCTGGCCATGGGAAAAGTTTTCGCCTTTGGACTTGACCGAAGTGGAGAGGTTGATCTTCTGCGTGTCGGCATGGCCTCCGCTTGTGTCCTGGGTATTGTCCCCAGTGTCGTCCTCAGCGGCATCCTCGTCCTGGTATTCGAAAGATGCGATACCACTGCAATATTGCAGGGCTCTAGTCACCACATCCTTTGGCACTTCACCGGTGGGATCAAGGTTGGATGCCACATCCCCGCTAAATAGAACGGCTTCTTGAGGAATAATGGTCAATGCCTCGCGCAAGCGCTTGCGTGAGAAACTGGTTATGTCGACGCCGTCAAAGAGGATTTTTCCGGAAACAATGTTGGAGAACCGTAGCAATGACAATACAAGCTATATGGACACCGAGTCAGGACGGCTTCCATGATTTCGATGACAAAATATAGAAAGACAAACACTTACAGTAGATTTACCCGATCCTGTTCTTCCGACTACCGCAACTCGTTCGCCAGCAGCAAATTTGAGGTTGATATTCTTCAGGATATCTGGGCCGTCAGGGTCGTATCTGATTGTGACGTCTCGGAACTCAACCTCGCCGCTTCTCGGCCAATCCGCAGGCATTTCCAATGTCTCATCGTCAGTATATGCCGTGGACTCCTTGTATTCATCAGGTTTTTCTTCAGGTTCGACCAGAGCATATTCGCGAATGCGGTGGAACTAAGCAGTGTCAGATCAAATCAAGAGCCAAAATGAATTGTTAGTGTGGGTGATAAAGCTTACACTCTGCATTTCAACCTCAAGCTCGTTCATGCACCGCACAAGCATAATGATGACTTGGCTCAACGTCTTGAAGTTTGTTAGTCATGAAGCCAATGCTACAGGTAGATTTTGACTTACCGTGGCGTTTGTAAGAGAGAATCCAACCAATCCTGCTGCGACAGTACCAACCTTTGACACGGCGATAGCACCGGCAGCTACCGTGACGAGAGTAGTTGCCATGTCGACCTTTAATGCCACCCAACGGTTACAGTTGTACTGAGATTCCGACGCCCTCTCATAGATGCGTAGCTTCTCGGCGAGCTGGTCGCCAAAAGTCTTTGGCATGCCCGCCCTAGCGCGAATGATGGCAATTCCCGCCAGACTGTCGGCAAATTGTGAGAAGAGAGGAGACTGTGACGATGATACGATTCTCTTGACTGCCACGGCCGTTCTTGTGTACATTTCGCCGGCAATTACGCCAACAAGACAACATACTGCAGCGGGGAGCATGAAAATAGGCATGACGGAGCCGACGGCGCCAACCTGGAATACGAGGCGGGTAAATGCGTCAAAGCAGAACCGCAGGTATGTTACCAGGGAGTTGTCGAGAGAGCTCATGTCGCGAGAAAACCGGTTCACAACTCTGCCAATGGGTGTGGTCTTGTACCATGACAGCGGTACTGACATGACCGATTCGATGAAGATGTTATGCAAGGTTCTGGCGGCATACCAACCACCACTTTCATAGAAGACAAAGGTCATGGCACTAATTAATAGTTCAGCAAAACTCCAAGCTCCGTAGATGCCGAGATAAAAGGCAATGTCGCTGGCTTCGCCCCTTCCATAGGCATCGACCCAGACAGCAATCCACAGTCCAGTACCAACAGCGGATGCCGTGCTGAGAATGGTCATGAGGGCCGCACCAACAGCAAGTAGAGGATTTCCAAAATAGGCCATGTATTTGAAGACTACAATATTTGTTAGTTATTGTGTTAACCTGCTCGGTGGCACTTTCACTTACACTGCAGTCGTGCAGTCGGCCCCGTCTTCAGGGCCTCTTGCGTAACTTCATCGCGGCGCTTGGCCTCGGATGTCTTCATAGTCCCATTCGTTCCACCATTGGATTTTCCGTTGGATTTGTTGCCATTGGTATTACCATTTGATGCTTCTTGTGTGGCTGCAACCTCGACCGTGGTATCAACATCACCTTCATCGACCAATTCCATGCCGAGTGTCACGGGCTTTCGGACAATGTCTGGATGCCGTTCGATTTCCTTGACCAGGCCATTCTCGAGTTTAACAGCTAGATCTGCCTGTGGTGTGATCCAGGGAAGCTGGGTAACAAGAACAATAGTCCGGTCCCTGAGCAAGTCGCCACAAAAGCAGTCTTCCCAAACCACGGATGCAGTCTTGGCGTCGAGTGCTGAGAAAATATCGTCGAGCAGGAGTATGGGAGCCTTGGAGTAGAGTGCTCGGGCTAGCGCTATACGTGACTTTTGGCCACCTGAAAGAGTTGCACCATTCTCACCAACCTCTGTTTCGTCTCGATCCGGAAATTCATTAAAGTCAATAGGCAGACCGCAAGCATTAATGACACGATCATATCGTACTTGCTCGAACTCGCTGTTGAACACAATGTTCTCCTTGATTGTCTCGTTTTGAAGCCAAGCGCTTTGAGATGCGTACGCAATATCCTTGGGACAGGTGATGACTCCCTTTTCAAGCAGGGTCTCGCCTAGAATCGCAAGGAGCATCGTCGACTTGCCTGAGCCGCTCGGTCCAGCAAGGACATTCAGGCCGCCCTCGACAAAATCAATGGATATATCCTTGAGCGTGAATGTGGCCTTCTTGTGGCGCCTGATCGTGGCATTTTCCATGCGCAGGGGTCCGAGAGGATGGCGGGTCAGAGGCACCACGTTGCTAAAGTAACGATCCAAACGCTTGACGGAAACGCCAGCTGAAGTGATACCTCTGGACATGCCAGTCATCATGGCGAGGTTGCGTCGAATGGTCCTGATAAGAGTGATGGAAGTGAATGCAACGTCTGCCGTAAGCGGCTGTTTACGCACCGCCACATGAAGACTAAAGATGATTAACAGGGCAATGATGGGAATGGCTTCCGTAAATTGACTGAGAAGCATAAATCTGCACACAAGGGTGATGTTAGCCTCGATTCACATCATTGACGCAATTGGTTGTTTCGAAGACACCTACAGGACATTGATACGCCAAATTTTCCGTTGCTCATTCAACCGAATGGCCTTGACTTTGTTGATGATGGCATTTTCCCACGCAAAGTATTTGATGGCTCTGATTGATGACAGGTATTCCGAAATCACCGAGATGCGGGAATCCTGGATCTTTCTGATATCACGTTGTAGGTGTACCATCCTTTGGGCAATGTACACGCCAATGGGTGACATGGTCAGCATGAGCCCGACACCTACAGCCGCTGGCCAATTGAGCATGCTGTACAAGCCAATGAAGCCAACAATTGTGCCAGTTGGTAGACCTGCACCAACAAGTATCAGGTCTCGACCATTGGTAATGGCATCGATGTCGGAGCTCATCAGATTAGCCAGTCTGCCGGTAGAAGTCACAGTCTCTTGCTTCTTCTCGCCTTCCTTTGGTTTATCCGCCGACGATATATCCTGAAAGGACTCGTCGTCGAGTTCCATCGAGTTCATGGCCTTGTAGTACAACTCCTGAGTGAGAGCAGCTTTGACACGGACAATCAGGCGAGTCGATGTGAAGATGTACTGCTGAAAAGCAACGGATCGAGACAGAGGCCCAAAGAACAACAGAATGAGCCACACCCAGGGCCGAAGCATGGCCTTTTCAGGCGCATTGATGTACCCCAGTAGATTATACAAGGCGAATGGGGCTACTAGTTCAACCACGAAACAAGTCGCTGCCCAAACGGCCATGGTGATCAACTCATGAGGCAGAAACCTGAGAAGAGTCCAGGCGGTCGATTGATTCTTTTTCCGAGCTTCTTGGACCCTCCTTAGCAATACCAAAGGTTCGTCATACCAGGGCAGCTGAGGCAACTCCTCAATCGTCATCTGGCTGCGGATGCCGCGCCACATCAGGGGAGTTAGCCACTCGTACGTTACGTAGTACTCCAGCCAACTGCAGGTTTCCTCTGGCGACGGCTCGGAACACACATTCTCGGGCAGATCCAGGTCGAGAGAAGGCGGCACCCACTCGCGGCGAGTGACAAAGGCAACCAGGACAGCCGCCGTCAATGAAGCAATGCTGGCAATCAGCATGGGATCAATCGAGTCGTGCCACTCGACCGAAATCGTCGGGAGCAATTCGCCGGCAAGAATGACGAGCCAGGCGCAGAAGATGGTGAAGTTGACTTGATGCAGAGCAACATGTCTCCACTCCATGTCATTCACCAGCCGCAGTAATCCGAGCAAAAAGACATAACCCAAGACGACGACGTTGGCCCACTTGTCGCCGTGACGCACGGCAGCCACGATCATAAAGGCCAAGGCTGCGGCGCGCAAGACTTGCGAGGCGAGCTCGAGCGGCAGGGTAAAGGTCGAGGCATTGCCTTCAGGTCGCGTGACCTTGGAGTAGGAGCGCCGCACCAAGTGCCTGAGGACCAAGAGAGCAGAAAGCACAGTTGCAGTTATCTGCAGATATCCAGTCTTGGCGAACCCCGATAGATGGCCAATCCAGGGGAGGCCGGCACGGCTTGAACAGAAAAGAACCGTTAGTCAAGAACTCTATCTCGTGTGCAGCATACATAATGAGCGGATGATGATGATGGTGGTGAACAAAGCACAAACCAACTTACGGTTCCTGGGCAACAACATGATAGTCGTTGAATACATGTTCTGCATTCTGCGAATGGAAATGGGGGGATTCCCACGCAGAACCTATACCGGCGACAGACAAGAACTCCATGGAGCTGCGGTGTTGAGTATCGCAGCTTATTGAATGGAGGAGTTAATGACAGGAACGGCAGATGGTGTGGCTCAGGGACGGACGGGCGCTGTCAGACGGCGCCGGGGCTCCAAGAGGCCGACACTCGAGGCCTTGGGTTTGGGTTGAGGGCAATTTAGCCGGGGCCCTTCCGCGCCAAAAAATCAATAGGGTAGTAGTCTAGGTAGTAGATGGATAGCCCAGATAAGTAATGTAGGTACTAGATTGGTAGGTAGGTAAGGTTACCTATGAGGTAGGTGGGTTGGGATTTCACTTCTGCGGCTGCGTTTCCCTGGCTTAGACGATGTCTTGGCTCTGGATATACTACCGAGTGAATGAATAGAGGATTGAAATAGGAACTATACTCCAAAACCTGCAAATACAGTTTTAGTGGGGGTGATTAGATCGTCAATGATCCCAAGGGAGGGTTCGGTCGGTCCCCTTGCCTTGCCTTGCCTTGCCTTTGCCCCCCCTGTTTGCCCCAGTTTGATAAGGATCCTGCAATAAGTCAGCAGCAAAGTTGATGCCTGTCCATCATGTCGGCGCAAACGGTCGGTCGGTCGGCCCTGGCTGGCATGGCCTGGCACGCATGGCAGGTTCCCGCGTACTCACTCGCTCTTTTAACAATTACCTGGGGCCATTCGTCTGACTGCCTAATGATCTACAGCACGTAGATTTTTGGAGGGGGGTGGTCATGTCGGAATTCCGCCCAAAAGGCCAGGCCTAGATGTGCGGCGCAATGCGTATGCCCTTCTACTGCACCTCGACCAAAGTCCCTTTTGGACAATATCCGCACTATATCCACAAATCAGAGATATGATGGGGGTGTATGTCCAAGACGGGCAACGCGCTGTCCTTTTAACAAGCCTCTCCCTAGGCCAACCCCTACAAAAGGTCAATTGCAACAAGAGGCGGCTGGCATGTTTTCGCGGGTAGACACAGACATGTCAGGTACAGAAAAGGACGGCGCCTACATTAGGCAGGTCTATCAGTGAGCCGCGAGTCCCTGGCCGAAATCGACGCAGATCCCAACCAGGCGCTTTTATTTCTTTCCTCCTTCCCCGAGGTGATTTCATATCATCAACTTGTCGTTGTTTCTTTCTGCATTTACATATGGACTGTTTGTTGATCCAAAAAAATGCCCAGTCTGACATGTTCATTGACTATCCTGCATGTTTGGTATCACCTGGGGAATTAAACTTGCCAATGGATCACACCCGATGTCACGGCCCTTGCAAATTGCTGCAGTATGCCGAAGCTTAACGAGACTCTTAGCGCAGAAAAGATCCCGGCATGAAGCTGCTGCCTAAAACCACGTTTTTGGTGTTTCACCCATTTGGCTTTGAGTCAATACGGTATTCTGCCATTTTCAGCTTCATTCCGCAGGACATATAGGGCTTGCAATCATGATAGTTGCATTGCAAAAGGCGATAACAGAATGATTCACTGGTCAACTTGTTAGCTGAGGTTTGAGTATCCAGCTCGCACCTGAACCTCTTGTGATGTCCGCCAGTGGCACAGCATCATCTGCTCCTGGGTGTTGCAACCAAACGTGATATGACGTGCGTTATTTTTTTTTTTTTTTTTTTTTTCGTTTTTTTCAAACCACTGTAGTACATCTTTGCTATGGGCAATATCACTTTTCTCACGTCAAGCACAGGCTAATATAAAGCAAGCAGTGGCCGTGACAGAAAATGTCCACGGTATACGGGCCGAGAAGAGAGGAGTCACTTCGTTGGAGAAGAGAACACGATATACACTTGAACTTATCACTCACGACCACCTCTTGTTATAAGTTTGTATCAAGACAACTATTCATATCAGAATCTCTGGGCAAGTGATAGAATTTTTTTTTTTTTTTTTTTTTACATATATACTCACAACAAAGTGGCCGATTCCATGGTTCATAAAGGAATTGTCTTTGATTACAACTTTCTCACGCGTTACTCGACGTTGGCATCAGATCAAGATTGCCGCTATGATGGAGATGGAGCAATCAGAAAGCTGCAACAAATCATTTGACATGCAACGTTTTCGAAATAGATCCTTTACTTTTTAAAGATTGCAAATCGTTACTTTTACCTGCCCGTGAGTGAGATCGGCTGCGGAGCGACTGTGTAGCTTACATCATCTCATACGATTCAGTATAGCGCTTTTACATCTTGCTTCATTCTTTCATTTACTCTCAGTCATTCAAGTCTGGAAGAGTATACAACTGTATGTGTCTTATGGCACCGTTTGCTGCCTGCCGAGAAGCTATACAGATTTCTATAAGACACATTCCCAATGATCATTACCCTCGGTATCGATACAATATATTTAATTGAACTAGAGGACGATAGGTATCATTAAAATTCCCATTCTCTAGACGATGAGAAACAATATATCTCGGTCATGCGGCTTGCCAATAAAAGATCAAGTGAATAATGCCGTACTAGAAAAGGACTGCTGCAAACCGGTCATTTGCCGATTCCCTTGCAGGCCGAAAATTAATGAATTATACCAGAAACATGACAAAAAACCCGTCTTCCATAATTGAATGCAGAATATTGTTCCTTCATTCCCAGGAGATCTTAGTCACGCTGTAGGAGTGTACAAACCTCCGTCAATTGTTCTTCAACACATGATATTTCCTGACGTCAAGCTCACTGCTGCACACCAATCAATCCCAGTTGCGACAAGGCATTCCCAGTGGCATATCTCGAGACGATTCATGTAATGGCCGAATGCTTCTGCCCTATGTACCTTGTTCTGAGACAACATGGCTCGCTCGTCATTGAGTGAGCCGATGAAAGGATATAGGGTTATGATTCGGGACCAGAAAGCGAAGAGCAGTGCTGAATATCTAGCAAAATGAGTTTTCAAACGATTCACGTCAAAACTGAGAAGGACTTGTCTTCTCGAAAGCAATGCAATCAACACGTATGACCATCGTTCACATGTACAAACTCGTACACTGAGTGAACGCACTGGTTGATACTGGCGTACCACTGATACTACTCGCGGGCAATGTGCATTTAGAAAAAGAAAAGAAAAAAAACAGAACAATATGTCAGAGAAGGCATCATAAGGCACATGTACATGGATGATTACCGGGAGTTCGAGTCGAGTGTTGAGCGTAGTGTTCCCTCTTCCGCTGCTTGGAGTTGTACGGAAACGTTGTAGATTGTGTCCAACAGAGGCCGCACGGGCGATCGCAGCATGCTAGTGACCTTTCACAGAGATATACGATGTGGTAACTGAGCACAGTACAAGTACTGGTTACACAAGTGCAGGCTCTTTTCAGCCTCGAGAGCCAATTGTACATCATGCCGCACTAGAGTCGCGAGTACAAGATACTAGCTTCGAGAGCGGGCACACGAGAGGGAAAAAGAGAAGACCGTTCTGTTGCCAAGCTACCTCTCAATGGATTTTCCAATCTAGCATGGAAATGTCGTGCTTCCCCATTTCTTTCCAGACAGGTACCTTGGCAAATGGCAAGTGCTAGACTAGCTTATAGCAATAGGCCATCGATGCGCGTTCTATCAGAAGAGGAGGCGTCCTATACATGACGGGATGCACAATATATCACAGAGAAAAAAACACTTTCGCGGTAAATGTAGCTCAATTGATATTCAATTCCCCGAGATGGACACCTGATAACTTGTCACGACAACAAATTTATCTAATTGGCAACCACTTCAGTCATGTTGTACCAGATCGAGTATCGAACATTCTACCACGGCCGACGATCGAGGAATGGTCAGGCTGAGGAGATTTATTGGACCTTCTTCAGCTCGACGTCGCTAGAAAACCAATTGTTAGCAAAGAAGACACAGACATACGACGAGGATGTACTCACAAGATCAGGTCAGAGTTGGGAGGAATGTGGCCAGTGAAGCCGCTGTGAATCATGTCAGTAACAATTTCCAAGGAAGGGCCTGATGTTTTTCGTTTGGCAGGTCCGGTAAAATAGAGATCACCATGCCGGATACCATGTCGCCCGGCAAGAGGCAGTCTAGGGAAGGAAGGGTGGGCTTACCGAGCGCCGTAGCCAAAGTCGCTACCCAAAGGTTAGTCAGTGATGGTAGAATTGGGGGGTGTAGCAATAGCACAAACCTGGAAATGTCCAGAGTAGACTTCTCGCCAGTCTTCATGGTGAGGACACCCTCGTCCCAGCCTAAAGACAAGTCAGCGAGCGGGAATAAAAACAAATCACGGCAACCCGAGACCAGCGGCTGGTAAAACTTACCTCGGATGACCTGGCCGACGCCGATCTGGACGACGAAGTCACCACGGCCGACGGAAGAGTCGAACCTAGATAGCAATCGTCAGTTGGAGCTCCGGGCATGATGCGTGGCTGTCTAGGTGTGGCCGACGCATGCACGAGGCGGGCTTTGCTTACTTGTTGCCCTTGCTGTCGGGCTTGGAGGTGTCCTTCAACCATCCAGTGTACTCAATGGTGACGGTAGAGCCCTTCTGGGGCTGGGCACCGGAGCCCTCCTTGAGAACGGTCTTCTGAACACCCATTGTGACTGTGATGAAAGAGTTTGATTAGTTGATGGCTTGGTAGTGATGGATTGGAGATAGCTTGTTGAGTGATGGTTTAAGGTAGAGAGGAAAGGGAGAGAAGGAGAGCTTTGGACTGACGTATGGCGGGGTAAAGTGGCAGAAGTTGCGTCGTTGTGGGTGGGATGTTTAGCGTGGAATCTGTTTTGTTGGCTTCGTTAGGTTTGAGATCAGATGGAGCCAAGCGGCAGACGTGGGAGGATCTCGCACCTTCTTTATATGTGTAGAGAAAGGTAGGTACACATCCTGTCCTGTGCTATGGGCATTGAGAGTACCTCGACTTCTATCATGTGCGTTGATGTCCATGGGCAGGGTGTCGTCCTACTCGAAAGCCAATGATCACATACAAGGCATGATTCATGTCAAAGAAAGGGCAGTCAACTCATCTCAGCTACAGTACATACAAGCATGCGCAGATCGGGGATACGTCAATTGATTGCTTTTGTGCCCTGGAAACACTCTGCCAGTAGACAGGTACATTGAAAAAAACCACCTCCGCAAGAAGCGGCGGAATGGGTCCCAACCCAACGATCCTTTCCCTCGTCAACGAGTGAGAGAGCCAAGAGAAGGCCCCCCTCAAGCCCCGTTCCCAAGCACTGGCACTTTGTTGGATTCGTCGGAACATGGTTTTATGCAAGGTCAGCTTGTCAAAGTTACCTCGAGTCTAAGCGAAACACAACTTGAACGTCGTCGACTGCTCTACGCATTGATCTCCTCACTGGAAGACATTGAGGCGGTCAATCATGTACGACAGAGCTTCTCGATGCAATGACAGCCGGCTTGGATACTGTTTCAACTATTATATTTTGCCAGAGAACAACCAATTGATGTGCAGCAATGTGCCGAGTCGACATATGTACCTACACAGTAAACTCGAAGATCTTGAGCGGGTCCGTTTCCCGGGGGTCGATGGCACCATGTACGTATCGCGATTATACGATCTATCATCTTGCAGCTTTTCTTTTGCGGCAAGCAGCACTGGGCCGGACCTTTGGCCCTCTTTGCAGCCCTTTTCCCGACCGGCGTAGGTCACCATTGGACATGTCATATGTGCCTGGTCTGTTCGGCCGGGTCCCGGCCGTTTGGGCGGCTTTTCGTCAGGCTCTACACAGCGTGAACGGACAGGCATATCCGTCCTGGGTCCTGAAAGTCGGCATTTGTACTGCACGTTGTAACTGACCTGCAGCTCATGTTCGCCAGACTTGCTCTTCGTCTTCTTCTTCTCCTTCTCCATTCCTCAATGAATACAAGATAACAACTTGTGGCTTGGGCACTGTATCTGCCAACCTGGGAGATACTGGCTCCATCGGTTATGTGTTCCCTCAAAGGCGGAACACAATGCTCACCCGGTGTAGATGGCTTCAAGTATTCGGCATAGTAGACTGACACAATTTGGCAACTAAAAATTTCTGTCCCGGCCTCACAATGTGGCCCTTGTCTATCAAAAGTGATAGCACGAGCGACATGATTCCTTACATGCAAGCGGCTGCGCATGTTGTTTCTTTAGGGAAAAGCTTGCGACGGGATAGCAACTAGCAATCGGCATTGTGACGTCAAAATAAAAAAAAAATCAAGAACATCAAAAGACTGAGTAAGGGTTGATTCGTGCAAGCAAGGGCCATGAGCTGACTACACGCTGGATTGCTTGCTCAGCAAAGTGATGTCTTATTGAAGAAAATGATTTTGTGCATATTGGGGATTGCCGGACCCCGCTGCAATGGAGAGAACCAGCAATGCTTCCACGGATGAGGGGTTTGACTGCAGCAAGCACCATCCGGCCGTTGCGTGCCAGCTGGGGCTCAAGATGATGAACGAGGGTCTAGGTGGTGGCAAGCCATCGGGTAGCTGATGATCGCCCATGATGCCTCTCCTGGTTGTCCGCGGTAGACATTCGAGCGCAGTTTTCTTGGAACAACAAGCTGTAGGGTACGGCATGAATTCTTACGAACCTACCCTGCTTTGTATCGTAGGAAAAGACAACCTGCTTACAGCTGTCTAAAGCGCCGTTAACCTCGGACATCAAGTACTGGACAGGCAACAACAATACTCAGCAGACGGTACAAGCGGAATCACATTTGATCGACTTCGGATTCCATGTTTCGTCACGCCGATCAGGTCCCGTGTTCTAGAACGCCTCTGTTGAAGAATCTTTGTACAGTATGATCCTTATGACGAATTACGCGGGAGGCGCCGTTCAGATGCCAATCGTTTTTGTGTTGGAATGGTTTGCCTACACACTACTAGTAACCTAGGAACACTACAACATTCTCTATAAACACACAGTGAAAGACTGTGATGTGTGTGATGAGAGCAATTGTCTCGGCTCCGCCTACTTATTAAGGGGACAGCCATGCCACACGGCTGTCAACCTTGTATACGCTTGATGACCAGGTGCGGAGATTGAGAAGCTGGGCAAGCTACTATGGCTACGTTTCATACCTGACTCACGGGCCGGCCAGGTGGAATGGCACTTGGCATTTGGGATGAATTAAGCTCTACCGTTGTTTTAGACGAACAGCCAATCTGATCTCTCGAGCTGGCAGATGACAGATGTGTAGGTCAGTTTCATGGAAACAAGTTCCCATGGCTTGAGTAGGCATAAGTTGGGTTGCGACAAAGCCCATGTCTATCTGGGCTTCCCATTCGCTCCGTAGCCAGGGACGACGTCAAGGACTAGTTTTGGTTAGTAGACGCCAACTATCTTCTGTCATCATGGCGGCCCTGAACTAGTCAGGTACGAGATCTGACTCTCACCTACCTACCCTACCCATCTACGACCACCTGTACCTAGTGCTAGGTTAGCGACGGCTGACTGACGGTGTTGGAGGGTTTTTTTTTCTTCTTCTTCTGTTCTGCGGCATTTGGCGTCAATGGTGGGAACCCTCGGCCCCCCAGACGGAGATGGATGGCGTTTTCGGCATCGCAACAGCCGGACTATGAATGTCTAGGGCTACTACGAGCAAGGGACCGTGTGCGCGGCTGTCCTTCTAAGCAGAAGGGATCGGCATTGCAAATTCCAACAGTGCAATTTACCGAAATGGCTGCTCTGAGGTAGAACTCAAAAGTCATCAATAGGGTCAGAAGCAGGACGACGACTTTGGACGTTTGAGTTCTTTTGGGCAAATTGCCGCCATGCACGAGGTCGATAGAGAGTCGATCGTTGCCACAATGGGGTAAGCAGACGGTAAAATGCATAGCCTTCCATCAGGTTCTCGACAGGAGGAGGGACTGCACGTGGGCTCGTTCTTGTGGGAAACGACACGCAAGACCATGGAAAGTTGGGGGCCTCAACCAGGATTACAAGCGAATTTACGAGATTGAATCTCAATTGTCTCTGGGACATTCTGCTTGATCAAGATGTGACTTACAAAAACCATGCTGCTATCGCACAAGGGATTTGGACTATTACTTATATACCGACATTGCCTGAGCCACTCGGTCTTTCGTGCCTTGGACTTGATAAATTTCAGGAAATAAGAATTGCGCAGAGCCTATTTCTGGAAAAATGCGGCTGAATAACTAGAGTAGTAGATAAAAGACAAACTCGATGTCGCGCAGGACAGAAATTTCAATATATGAGGTGGCCTGACTCCTGCCAGCCACACACAAATCTCCCCTCTAGGATCCTTCCAATGTATTGAGCTGCAGTCATCTTCGACTCCACCCAATTGGCCTGGGCACGTGTGACATATAATAATAAATATAGAAATGGCGAATAAGCAAGCAACCAAAATCAAAGAGTGATACGATGCCTCATGTGCTGTGAGATGACTACCATCAAATAGTTGTAAATGCCAAGCCGCTCTGTTCGGTGATGCATACTATGTATCGCTCGTGCTACTGTACATAGTACGCTACCTTGGTTAGTAGTAAAGCGATCCGGGCTCCTGGTCTATGAAAAGAGACCAGAAGAAAGAATAATTTCGAGATTTGTAATTCTCGGAGGAAAAAAAAACAAAAAAACAAAAAAGGAACGAGCATAGGCGCATGAGGGAAAATAATAATGGGACTGAGGTGGTTTGTGTTAGAAGATCAATGCTCGTCGCCGATAGACACATGAGGCATTGCCGTGGTGCACCCGCAGTGTACACTTTGTACACACGGTACGAAAACAACTCGAGAGTCGAGACGACTGGGACTAGGTAGCGATGTAGAGCTTGAGCTGGCAACATATGCTTCTGTTATGGAAGCACCGTTGACTCGCCCTGCTGGCCGTTGTGTTGCGTTGCGTTTCTTGCCAGCTCGGTAGGTATTGGAGGCACCTGGCGAGGCTTCGCAAGGGTCTGCAGTCCGCAGCATCGATTGTGAAGGACAACATGCGAATGGGCGTGTCCTTGCTTCCATGGCTTACACAGTAGTGTACATTCATCCATCCACCTTATTGCCTTAGGTGCGGGAATAGTGCAGGTACCTTTTACTCCATACATTAGGTGCAGTCGAAGTGGACATCGTGGATAGCTACTAAGAAAGATACCGACCACGGTGCCTGGCGCTTGTGCCTCTACGGCGCGTGGATCAATCGGTCTGGCCCTCGAGTCCAATCTTATTTTGCCCCGGAACAGCTTTTTCCAGGTGTCAATCTTTGCTGGAAACGACAATTCGACGCCTTAGCAGAACGGTCATTTCTTGCTTCATCGATCGGCCAACACATGAAAAACCTGACCCAGTTGTTTGCGAAAAAGAAAGGGCAGGTCTGCGATTTAAGCTCTGACGCACGGTACGTAGGGGACATGTGCGACCTGGCGACTTTCCGGATAGCCAGCCCCAAGCTAGCTTTGCGCCAAATGGACATCAAGCGGTCGCCTTGTGGCGATGGCGTGTGCGTATGTGTGCGTGCCATGTGTGTGTGTGTGTGCTCGCAAAGTGCTGAGGGTTCGGTAGGTACTGAGATCTCACTTCACCTGACTTGGGTTTGCTGATCTATTACAATATTGAACGCTGCCGTGCACAACCAAGCCAACATCGCACTACAATTCTCTTAGTATCTACATAACAACATTGCGTGACCCAACTGTATCTGATGTACTCCCACCTGAATCTGCTCAGTCGGGATGGTGGTGGGGGCTATGTACATACCCTAGGGACCTCAGGGAGTGCTATTGACCTGACTGCATCCTACAATGTAGTAATGTAGGCAAGTACAGGTAGGTCTCTCACGCGCAGTCCAATTGCATATTGCGACTTCCTTTTCGGTCACAGGGGCCACGGGAATGCGATTGCGTGGACGACGCATAATAATCGGCAGAAGCCATTTGTTCTCTTGTGGCATTGCATCAGCAGAGGCGCATTTGATTTTCGTCTGATGTATGGCTCAACCTATATAGGTTTTTGTACGAATGGGGTCTTACCTTTTGCCTCCTCTTCGAAAGTAGGTATACTACACAGTACTCGACTACCGTTTGTGGGTAGTCAATGTGTCCACCCCCTCTTCTTTGATGGGGTGCATTGTCGCCCGTTGGCTGGATGGCTGGTTGCTTGCTTCGCTCGATATTGGGACGAGTATGCACTCACTGGCTCGTGCAATCGGCAAATGGTTCAATCAACCACGGATACAATATACAGTAAACTGCATCCTCCAAGGAATGTCAAGTGCTTACCAACTAGACAATATTGCCAGTTAGTCAATTCATCGACCGTATTTGGGCACATTGCAACGCAATAACACGTCCGCCGTCGGCGCTGTGCTGGTGCTGTGCCGGTTTGTGGCTCCTCCTTATTACCTCTCCAACCAGCAAACAATACCCGGCGGCTGCACCGACTCTTTTTTTTTTTTCCCACCCCTCGAACACAGCTTGCAGCCGTGCGAGGGGCCGGGCCCATGGAGTTGCAAGCGCGTCTTTTTTTGTCCATGGAGCACAGGTGCAGGTGCAGGTGGCTGCTGGCTGCAGAGCAAACCTACCGTATATTTCGTGCTCAAATCGGCTAGGATGTCAGCTCCTTTCCCTGAGACGGGGAAATTGCCCGTGGCAGATTCCCCACTCGATCGCCCAATCGCGAGACCTTGCCGTCCCCCTCTGCCCACCATGGCGCTGTGCCAGGACGAGATCCCAAGATCCTGGAGGGACATCCAAATTACGACCCACGGTATCGAGGATACCTTGTCGTGGCCCGAATCCCACGCCTTTCCCAGGGCGCCAGGCCGTCTGTTTGAGGTACTGCTTGATAGTGCTGGCTTTGCCTGGAATGCCCACAGCACGAGAGAGAGGAAAAAAAATTGAGCCTGAAGCAATCTTCTTCCTGGCAAGCTAGCACCTTTCCTATTCGAGGCCGCGGAGTCAAGTTAGGAGGAGCCACAGGCTTCCTTTGACACGAGCCTGCCCACATCATCAAAGACACGCCAGGCCGAAGCCTCAAAGCCAAAGAGCAAGAAAGACCCCGTCTTCTTTGGCCGTGGCCCGTCCGCTGGAAAGGACTCCGTTATCTCATTAAAGAATAAGCGTCAACTAAACACTGACTACCAACATTATACCATTCTTATTGTTGTTGTTGTTGTTGTTGTTGTTGTTGGATATCACAAAGCGAGGAGAAGGAGAGAGAAGGCGAGAATGCCTGAGAGCTTCTTGTCAAGCGACATGCGAGTGCTTGGTCCTTGTGCGCGCAGTGGAGAGCAACGACGAGGGTGTCCTCGTCGGGGGAACATGACGGTCCTTGCGTACATTGTGTAGGAACAGAGTACACTGTACGTACCTGACTTACCACCATAGCGTGCACACATTCAATGAATGCCACACAGACTAACCTTACCGTGTGTGTACACCCCCCCTGCCCGAACGGCACCTCGCTCAAGAATAATACCACAGGCGCTAGGTAACTTTGGTTTTCCTTGGTCATACCAGCCGTGGCGCCCCCCTGTCAATAACGGCTCTCACCCCAGTCTGTTCAGTCTTCTCCCTCCTCTCCCTTGCTCGTTTCCTCCGTCCATTGTTTCCTGCTGTCACCCACACTCTCTATTCGTCTTTCCTTTTTCTCTTCTACCAGACCTTTGCCTCACCTCCCGTCCCTCTTTTTTGCCCTCCAGCTTCTCCGCCGACCTCGTTAGGTGTAAACCCTTTCGACGACAACTTCCCCTTCGGCGGCGACAGACCCTTCCTTTCGAATTTCTTGGTTTTTGCGACTCTGCCAAGCCGACATCACACGCGAGACTCGAAGAGGACCTTTGGAGGCATTGTTGCGAGAGACTGCCAATGCATTTGCCGATCATCTGTTGAAATCTGGTCGTGGAGGGCGATTATCGAACAACCAACTATTGACGAGTTCCTCGTCGTGTCACTCTTTTCTCAACACTGAGACCCAGCAACACCTATAAAAGGTACGGGGCTTTTTGGATACCTTTCTCAAGACACAGACCTCGCCTTGTTGTTTCCTCTGGCTCAACCACGGCGATTCTGTATCTTCGGATGATCTGTGGATCATTTATGCACGCCTATAATGTTTCACCATCGATGTTCTGTGGACGACTTGTTAACTTGAATATATTCACAGCATACACTCGTTGACAATATTGTCATTTACACTCGTTATTCAGATCACTCTGAGAAAACAAGTGCGTTCTTTGCGCCACTACACTCATTAGAGCCTATTGAGGCTAACAGCACGAAAGAGAAAAGAACGCATACTCTAATTGACTGCCACCAGTCTAGTTGCGAGATCGTTGGATACTATTTGGAAAAATTGGAAATTAATTGAATTAAAATGCATACCAGATTGGCCGTAGCCACGCTCGTGGCCGCTGCCTCGTTGGCGAGCGCTGTACCCGACAGACCGAAGATCTACTTCCCCAAGAAGATCAAGCGAGAAATCACCAACAGCACCATTACAAGCGCACCTGTTTTGTCCACGCCAGAGAGTTCGGTTTCTAGCTCCTCGGATACCACAAAGAGAGATCCGTTTTCGCTATCCCAGTTCTTCAGCAGTCTCACTGGAGACCGTGACTCGAGCGCATCCTCTGAATCTGGTACTTCGTTGTCCGACGATACGACGTCGCTCATCGTGATTTCGCCGAGTACCATTACTTCGGCGGCTGAATCCACGGCGACTTCGGCAACTGACAGCACTGCTTCGACAACCACCGCCGATGATGCGAGCACAACCGATAGTGGAATTGAATTGCTACCATCTCTTAGCATCGACGTGCCGATTACTCTCGGTGCCACGTCTACCGATGTTACTACTGCAAACGCGACGACCACAACCGATGCAACGACCGCAACTGATGCAACGACCGCAACTGATGCAACGACCGCAACCGATGCGACAACCACAGCAGATGCGACAACTACTGCCGCCACCGCCTCTGAGACCGCAGCATCCTCGACCGCTGATTCCACTACCGCTGCGACGGAGGCCGCGACCGACAGCACGGCCACCGTCACTGACGCTGCCAGCGATACGTCTATAACCATCTTGCCCACAGTCACGTCTTCCAGCTCTGGCGATGGCGGTCTGATTGGCATTTTGACATCTGTTGTGTCCGACGTCACCAGCGCTTTGCTTGATCCCACGGCCAATGCGACTGACTCGTCGGCTTCTGTAACTGCCAGTGCCACTGACTCGTCGGTTCTTGCTACAACCACTGCAGCATCCGATGCAGCTACCACCACTAGCTCCAGTGGTTTGGACTTGGGTTTGACCTTGACGGACATCCTGCCCACGGTCGCAGACCCGACATCGACCACGTTTGTTGGTACCGGTACTGCGGTGACTACTACTGCAGACTCTGCATCTGCATCGGCCACTAGCTCTAGCGGACTGGACCTGGGTCTGACGTTGACGGACATCTTGCCCACGATCGCTGACCCGACGAGCACTACATTTGCAGGCACTGGAGATGCCACGACCTCGGCCTCGGCTACACCCACCAGCTCTTCTGGCTTGGATCTGAGCTTGACTGATATTCTTCCCACAATTCTTGACCCTACGTCCACAACCTTTGTTGGCACCGGTAGCACAACAGCATCGGGTTCCGCGTCGGCTACTAGTTCCTCTGGACTGGATCTGAGCTTAACTGATATCTTGCCTACGATTGTGGACCCAACTTCTACAACTTTCGTCGGTACCGGCGCATCCACCACTGCCACTTCGAGCGCCGCCATTTCGGATATTCTTTCATCTCTCGCGCCAACCGTCACTACTTCGGCTGGAGTGTCTGTCAACAGCACCGACTCGGTATCAGCTACGACGACTTTCACGCCGCCGACCTCTATTTCCACCCCAGTGTCAGTTGGTCAGAACACTACCAGCATTGATTCATCCACGATCATCCCCACCATTTCCACCAACACCACACAGCCAGAGTCGACTGCCTCGACTACACCCGAGACCAGCTTCACAACAAGCGTCTTCCCCTCTGCCACGCAGAACACCACTCTTCCAGAGACCACAACCGAGACTTCTTCCGAGACGCCTACCATTACAACCAGCAGCTCCATTTCGACTACTCCGGTCACTAGCATCCAAGCGACTGCCACGATCACCAACTCCCAGTCCTGGTTGCCCACCACTATCATCGTGCAGTCTTCCATCACTGAATCCGCCGTGTCAACAACAGCTACTTCGACGGGCATTCCCACCACTCTGCCCAAGTCCATCACTCCCTTCGAGACACCGTCGGCTCAACCAGAAGGAACGACACCAATCCAAATTTCTTTCGGATACGGCTTTAACTATGAGTGGATTGCTGCGCAGTCCATGGCTGCTGCCCAGCTCTTCTCGCTGCTCCCGCAGGCCATTGCGTTCGATCGCAGTCTCTCCACCGATGATGTTGTCATGAAGAGCATTGTTCCCTACGACACAACTGCTCAACTTGGATTCATCACTTCCCAGGCAATTCTGTACATCCCGACGTCCTCGGTTGAGCTGTTGAGACTGGACCACAAGATTCCTTCTTCTGCCCTGTACACGAACCCCAACGCTCTCGTGTACAACATGACCAGCCAGATCAACCCCGCCATTGATATTCTCATTGGGTCAACTCTGGATGGCAGCAGCACAACCTCGACCGACGGATCGAGCCCAAGCAGCAGCAGCTCATCAGGCGGCTCCAATGATGCTTTCGGATCCAGCTCCTCGGGCGACCAGACAAGCCAGCAAAAGGGAACCACTGCTGCTATTGCCATGGGTGGTATTGCTGTTGCTGGAGCGTATGGTGCTGCCATGTTCATCATTGCCCGCCGGTACAAGCGCAAGAAGCAGAGACACCAGCGCACCAGCTCCGTCAACTCCCCTTCGGAGATGAGACAGACTGGAAGCCCGGCGTTGATGGGTGGTGCTCTTCTCAGCCGCGACTTCACTGCAGCTGGCTACGGAGGCGTCAATGGCCACAACCAAATGGGAGGCAATATGCGAGACAGCCAAGGCAGCGGCAGAAGTGGTATGAACAACTCTGGCCGCACCGCTTTCATTTCGGCACCCGTCGCTGCTGAGAACTCTCTTGGCTGGAACTGAAGACTGACGCATACGACCTCTACGCCCGTCCATTGATTCATACCTTTTTCCGTACTATTCGATACCCCTCCGGGAAGGCTCATCCCGCCCATGTCTTTTCCCAACCTTGGCATGGTGGCCGGCCCCCCCAGGACCTGCGAGCATCGCTCAAAATTTTTCTTGTCTTTTACATTTTTGTGGTCGTATATCTCAATATTGAGACAGGTGCCAAAACATAGTATCACACATTTGGGCATCACCAAGAATCTGGACCCACCTTTTTGCTGGTCTTTGGTTCGGTGCTCCGATCAATTTTCTTTTTTCAATCTAATTTTGTTTGTAGCGGAGAATAGGGGTTGGGGCTGCTGTAGATGACGGAGGGTGGCGGCTTGGTGATGGGAGATGGGGTGACGGTATGCCGGAGGGGTTCTTCGCGAGGTGCGCGGCGCTGTCAGTGTCAATGTAGAAAGCGCGAAGCAATGTCAATGCTTTTGAAGCAGCCATGTTTGCCGTGTTGCGACACGAAATCAAGGCTTGCAATTTCAAGATGAACAACAGTGCAGTAGAGCCTTCTGGGACCATATCGTAGTGTATACATGGTGAATAGACCCAGAAAAAAAAAAGAATCTTAAAAACATTTTCCAAGAATGAAAGCGTGTTTGTATGAGGCTCGTTCCGGGACACCGCGACTGTTGTAGGACGTCGATGAGAGTGCGGCTAAAGAAACCAAGTCCTTGATAAGTGCAAGCTTTGAATATGCATGATATAGGACCGGCTCCACGTGTATTCTCATGTGAAGATGAGTTCTATAAAAACCCCCAAAGTATCTTGTCGATGGACGTGATATTTCAAGACCTGTTTTAGGTCGCTATCAGTTGAGCGAACTACTATAACAGGCACCCTCAACTGATGATGATGATGATGGTACATATCCATGCCAACGCGCACAATATTCACGACAAGGGCAAGTCCGTCAGATCATGAAGACAGGCAGGTTTGATTGATGAATGAGATGGCCTCGCTCGCACTTGGCGAATTTCCAACACAAATGGCTGCTCAAGTGTCTGTCTGCTACCAGCCTACCTACGCTGAGACAATGGCAGTACTATGTACACTACTACGTTTAGTGACAACGGTAGAGTCTTGCACACTGTACGTACAGTACATGGTAGACCCATAATGTTAGCCCCTGTCCCAATGTAGTTCAAGCAAGACCCTTGGACACATTGCCTTCCCCAGCTGATGCCGCCGACTTTAACAACCATTTCTTCATCCAGTCTTTCTTTTTCATTGCCCGATGGAGGCGCACAAAGTCTTTTACGCAGATTGACCCAAACCACTGCATTAGTTCCCCTTCTCATTCCTATGGAGTCAGAAGATTTCGCTTAGCTATCTCCCTGTCCGGCTAACCTCGGTGCTAGTCGACACAGATGAATGCAGCGAAAGGGGTGTCCAAAGGGTCCGCGCCGGTCCCCCGTACAGCCAATATGTCCATGAAGGCCGCAAGCAAGAACTCACGTCTTGCACAAAACAGCGAGAGTGATTCTGATTTTGAAGATGCCCAAGATGAAGTAGCCTTCTTGGGGCCTGGCAGCGACGAGGTTTACGAGCTGCAGGAATTAGATCAGCATAAAACCCATCGTCAGCAATCCCGTGGGCACCATGGTCTCGAGGAAGATGACGATGACGACGATGACGGCCTTCATCCTATCGTGCGCAGAAACCGGCGCCTCAGCAGCAGCACTGCCGCCAGTTTCCAACTCTACACCCCGGACGAGGAGCAGAATGTCGTCCGAAAGTTCGACAGGCGATTGGTCTTGTTCCTGTCTGTTTGCTACATGATGTCTTTCTTGGACCGGTCAAGTAGGTTACTCATGAACAGTCTTCATCTTGTCGTCCTGCACTGAAAACCTCTAATGACTTGCGTAGACATTGGCAACGCGCGTCTTGCCGGAATGGAACAGGATCTCCAGTCCAGGCCAGCCAGAAGTGAGTGGTACGCGTGGTCTTTGACGTCCTTTTATATCGCCTACATTGTATTTGAGTGGATGAGTCTGCTCTTCAAAATCGTACCGGCTCACATTTACGTAAGCATACGAACATTTCCATCCCCTGAGATCAATAATCTGAATGAACTAGATATCCCTCATCATCTTGTCCTGGGGAATTGTTGCCTCATTGCAGTCAATCGCAGTTTCATATCCCGCCCTCATATTTCTTCGCACGCTGTTAGGGATAGGGGAAGCAGGCTTCTCGGGTGTGCCCTTCTATTTGTCTTTCTTCTTCAAAAAGGATGAATTGGCATTCCGAACAGCACTTTTCATTTCCGGTAAGATCCAGATGACTACCTGCTATTCATATTCCGCATATGCCTTATTCGCTTGCCCTTCGTTTGCTACATCCTGGCTTACATATCAATCGACAGCTGCCCCGTTAGCCACAACCTTTGCATCCTCATTGGCTTGGATAATTCTGAAAATCGGCGAGGCAGGCCCAATTGCCCCTTGGCGTCTGTTATTCTTGATTGAAGGGTTCCCTTCCGTCATCATTGGAGTTGTGGCCTGGAGCGTCATTCCTGATCATCCCCAGGCCGCCTCGTATCTCACAGAGAGGGAGAAGAAAGTCGCCCGCCTACGCCTCCGGCATGAGAAGCCACGGACACGAGCACATAAAGGCGCCAACTCCAAAAGATCTCCGCTAAAATCCAAAGAGGTGCTATCTGTCTTTGCCGACCCGAAAGCCTGGATCACAGCACTCATGTTCTTCTTGACGAACATGGCCTATTCTTCCCTGCCAGTCTTTCTTCCCACTATTTTGCATGAAATGGGCCACACTGCATTGGAGAGCCAAGCCTTGAGCGCACCACCGTACCTAATTGCATTTCTCACAATCCTCGTCACTGCTCATTTGTCGGACAAGATGCAAACACGAGCTCCATTCGTCATTGCCCACGCCTTGTTGTCTGCTTTGGGCTATACCGTCATGGCACTGGCGCGGCCACTGAACATCAACCCGATGCTGAGATACCTGGCGGTGTATCCCGCGGCAAGCGGTTTCTTCAATGTCGTCGTTCTCATTATTGCCTGGTCCATCAACAACCAACCTACCGAGTCCAAGCAGGGCGGCGGCTTTGCGCTCATGCAAATAATTGGCCAGTGTGGGCCTTTGGTAGGCACGAGGCTGTATCCCACCAGCGACGAGCCATTCTTTGAACACGGCATGTGGACCTGCGCTATAGCCATGTTTGGGGTGGTTGTGCTAGCCGCAATACTGCGGTTCTACTTGATGAGGCAAAATAAAAAGCTTGACCCGGGTGGCAAAGATGGGAACGACGAACTGGATGCGGAGGAAGCACAAGGCCTCGTGGAAGGCAGCAACGAGGCCGCCAGAGTTGAGGACGGTCTGGTCGGTTTCAGATTCATTCTTTGACCATGGAATTCTATATGTACCATGCAGCGTTGCGAGGAAGAGGAAGCTCGAGCTGCCGCGTAGTAAATTCAAACGCGTGTCTGCTAGCTTTCAACAGACGGTATAGTCATATTTCTGTCCGGCGCTTAAGATGAAGAACTGTGCTTCAATAGTTTCCCAATTTCATATGCTCTCTGTTGAACTCCATTTCTTATATATGTACATATAAATCAGGCCGGAAAAATGCCATGTCAAAATTTGGCTTGTTATGCTCAAGAAAGAACTTATTATATGATCATCTTTGGTAGCGTAATCGAGGTAAGGTGAAACGATTTTGCCACGTGCAGGTCCTGTCAGTTCCTACATTATGTACGGAAGTCAATAGGTACGTATGGAGCTCGGTAATGTACCCAGTGGGGGCCTGCAAGTCGCCTGAACACTACACCCGCTAGCTACAGGTGTTAACGAAACCAATACAGGGCCCAAAAGCCCGCAATTCCCTGCATGACAGCCTCCATCCGCGAGAATCCAGAATCGTGACGTGAATGAGTCAGATAACGCCAGGCCATCATTTGCGCCCAATCTTTTCTTCTTCACAACTCTGCAACCAACCGATACAGCAAGACCAGATAGAGCACAAAGTCATTTCAGCAGCACACATTACGCACCACACACTACGCGACACACCTGCAATACCCTCCAATCCGACTGTGCCTCGAATCTAGCACAGTCGATACTTTTCTCACCTCGAGTCCTTGCCACCGTACTTTATGCAACAAGAGTTTCCTGAGGTTTCCCAAAGCTCGCAAGTCATCAGCACCCTCGTCTCGCCCCAAACTCCCTCCCAACATGGCTTTCACCAGCTCGAGCATGGCGGCTCTGACCGTGGTTGCGACTCGCGGAGCTCCTGCAGCACATCGCCACCCTCTGCCTGCAGCCGCCGTGTTGATGACCACGAGTATGGACTCGATTCTGCGGACGATGTCGATTTCGACCGATTCGACGACAAATTACACGGACTGAGCGTGCAGGACCCTCCTCTCTTGTCCCCTGGTCAGCGTATTTCGGAATATGAAAATGCATTGTCGCCTTCGATGCCACGACAGGCAATGGGTTTCAAGGTCGTGAAGCGTGTCACCCCGTCTTCAGACGGACCGCAGCTGGCTGATTTCCCCAATGGTTCGTCGACTTATATGTAATGATGACTGGAATGGCAGCAACTAATCCTTTGCAGAGATTTTGACGCACATTCTCTCGCATCTGCACCCCGATTCTCATACCGCCGTTGCCTTGGTATCGAAACGCTTTTATGGTTTGGTTACAACTTCGCATGCGTGGCGTATGGCGTTCCAGCGTTTCTTTCCTGGCCATGATACTCTTCTGCTGCCCGGGAAATCAAATGGAGTTCTAGACGACGATGACGAATTCATTCGGTCCGAGACTCGCTTCTTTACGCCCCTGACAGCCGATGCTTCATGGCGCAGCGAATATCTTCTTCGTACTCGTCTGCTACGAAGTCTTGCTAGAGGCAAGCCCAGCAGTTCGCGTGGTATCGGATCTTCCACGCGCAACGCGCACGTTGGAAAGAAATTGAGCGCCGTGTTGACGTATAACACAAAACTACCCTCCATGGTCACCAACGCTCATGCTACATTTGCTTCAAGCGCCAAGAAACCGCCTCGGGTGATACATGGCGCAGCAGATTTGAACGCCTGCAGTGCCAGTGATCCAACCATCGGAAAAGTAGAGAAGTGGGGTCTCGACGACCCTTTCACCTTTTCCCAATTCGATGAGGTCGTGCCCCAGATTTTGCCCTATGGCGTGGGTGAGGGCCCAGCTGCGGTGCCAAATGTTATGGATGCCAGTCAGCCATTTGGAGTCGTCGCTGGAGAGGGCTTTCCGGGCGGGCGCGCCTTCTTCCGCCCATCAACAATCTATCGGGGCAAATATCTCAGTCCAGACTCGAGCATGGCCGACGCTTACCCGGATATCCCCAAGATACCAGAACTCTCCGAAGGTATCTGCTCAGTCTGGATCGCCAAGTCTGCCGCGGTGCCCTCTCTTACCCAAACCATGATGGGGATTCTGACAGGCTCTACTTTGGGTGTGATTACTGCGTATGCTTTGGCAACCGAATCTACCGGAGCTCGTTTCCCGACGGGCCAGATCACTGCTCGCTGGGCTTTGAGTCCAGGAGTTCCAATCATTGCAATTCAAGTTGATGAAGCCTACAGCCAGAAGCGAAAAGCCGCCAATCGTGTTTTCGCGGTTGCCTTAAACGCACTCGGTGAGGTCTTCTACTTGACCCAGCCGCCAACACCTCTGGTCCACAGATCCAAAGCTGAGGATGCAACAAAATGTGCCTGGTACGCTGGTCGATCCACTTACTGGCACCTGGTTGAAACCACTCGTCGCCAGGCACGGCCTGATGAATGGGAAAAGAATGCGCTTCGAGGCACATATTCACCGCGGTCTCCGTCCAATGCCATGGACCTGAATAAAAACCAACTCATTGCAGAAGCTCGAGAGATCGAGAAATTCTTACGCTACCAGCCAAGCCATTTCCGTAAGGTGTGTACTGGCTGGGACATGCGTCGCAAACTTGAGGTGGACTTTTCTTCTGTAACTGCAGATGGAGCAGGAGAGGCTATCTTTGTTATTGAGTGTAACCATGACGAGGAACAGCTGGCTTCGATAACTCGCTTTTCGCGTGTTATCACTGGTGAAGTGGGCTTGGCAGATATTACACCAGAGGCCGAGACTGCTCCAGTACCATCTCTGTTTGGTGACGGTGTGGTCGAGTCAACTAAGCCGAAATTTTCAGAGCCTCAGCAGACCGTGGCATCCGGAACACAATCACCAATGACTTTAGGAGTGGGCAAACCCCATGATTGGCAAGAGACGAGGCTCTTGATGCCCAATGATGCCGTCAGGATAACCACTACTGCCGTCGATATGTCACTGTTCGCCACTTCGACGTCATCAGAGAATGCCTCGAAGGACGGTACAAGCGCATTATCAGGTTCTACAACGCCTACCAAGCAAGCTGCGGCAGACATTCCTGGCCGATGGGCAAGGATGATTGGTGTTGGCACCAGCGTGGGCTCTGTCTGGCTCTGGAACATGAGGGCCGGGCACCTTGTTGACGGTATCAAGCCCGTCCGAATCATTCAAACCGAGTCACCTGAAATATCTTGTCTGGCCATCTCCGCCTTATACTTGGTTCATGGCGGTAGCGATGGTCTTGTGCAAGCATGGGACCCTTTGGCATCCACCTTGGATCCTATCCGGACCCTGAATGCGCGCTCGATGGGCCGCGTACCGCGTATGGTGCTTTCAGCAAACCCAAATTTACGGCATAGCGCTTTTGCTTCTGTCGGTGCCCTTTATTTGGATCCGGACCCAACTGTACTGAGGGGTATCGTATGCTTTGGCACATTTGTGCGATACTGGGCCTACAGCTCCACGGGCCAACCAACAGGCCGAAGACGCCGTCTTCGTCACTCGGAAATCCATGGCCGCGCCGACAGCAGCCGGCGGGTCACCGGAGGTCTCAAAGGGTACATTGCCGCTGAAGCTGAAATGATACGGGTAGAGGAACATCGCAAAGCCCAAGAGCAAGCACATCTCCGTTCACGATTTGGTGTCGGCTTGGCCGATCTAACTGAAGAAGAAGCACTGCAATATGCGGAGATGATATCTCAAGAAACATTCTTGCTTGATGGGCATCGTCGAGTCAGCGCCAGCGAGACTGGTTCTGCTTTTGACACTACTTCAACGAGCGGGCGCAGTCTTGACACCGTCACGCCCGATCCCAGTGTCACAGGTCTTAGCCCGCCAACTGCGAGCAGCAGCAACGTGCCTCCTCCTCAAGCTCTGAACGACGAGAGTGATTTTGAACTGCAGATCCAGCAAGCCTTGCGACTTTCTTTGCTCGAAGATGTCAATGGCGCAGACCAGTCCCCCAAGGGCAACAGCTCTGGTGACTTTGGGTTTCCAGTAACCTACTCTGAGAAACGCGGTAAACAGACACCGTCGACGCCATCAACGAGCCACACACCAATGGTTCAGCCTGGAGCTAATTCTTCTCTTGAAGCATTGAGTCCCGACATGGACGACGACCTGCGTCTTGCATTGGAACTGAGCCTGGCTGAGGAAGAAAGCCGAAAATCCTTCCAGCAGAATCAAGGAGGCAGCGATGATGAATTTCCAGCTCTAGTTGCAGGTGGCAAAGGCAAAGGCAGAGCTTGAGGATTGGTGATGATTCGGTTGTTGATTTCTCTTCTTTATTTTCAAGTTTAGCACTTTTGTTCACTTCGTGTCTAGCGCTTTGGCCCTAGATTTACTTGGTAGCATATATTTTCAAACCAAGTCTCTTATTTGTGGATTTGTTTCGAGACGAGATGTTAGTTCGTTCTTAATAATTGATACAGGCATCTGGCCGGAATTCCTTGAGCTTCGTGGCACGGCCAACTTTTGGTTCGAATTGCCCATGCCATCCATGATGACCATATACCCCCTACAATGACGATGATGTGCTCTTGAGCCGAAGATAGAGTTACAGTCTTTATTCTCCTCTGCAGCCAAGTCGACAATATGCAGGCGGGGGAAGATTGTGTGATGTCTCATGTGCGGAGAATATACTGGAACTCTAATTTCAGAAATATGACATAATCATCATTCAGCCCATAAAGCCTCTAAGACGTATCGTCGCTTTGCAGTCATGCTAGTTTCATCGCTCTTTTACTTTTTCAACATTGACGTAATTACGTATCATGTTATTTAAAACTAAATATAGTCAGCTATGGCTATCATAGACGTTTCCAACATCCTTGCCAGTACGTGTAATTCGCGTAAAGAATAGAGGCCTGAGCTGTAGCCACGAACTAATCAAAAAGCAAGCCAAACGCCGTCGCTACCGATGGATAACAAATAAGATGGTGGTATAAATAAGATGCCTTTGTACAAGACGGGCTTTCAAGCACGCCATTGTGAGTCATGAGTATTGACCGCAGTCTACTGGGGCGAGCTTGCTTCCCAGCTGTACCTCTTCTGCGCTGGTTGAGGCACATGGACCAAGTCGAAGCCGTTGAGGCGTTGCGTAGCTGATGTAGGTGTTACCGACGGATCTACTGGTGTCGGCACATGGACAAAGTCAACTCTGCCTTGGAGTCGTCCTGCATCAGATACAACCGACGCCGGGATTGGTCTCTCGGGAATGTGAATCAGCTCCAACTGACCGTGGCCTCCAGTCATATGGTCGGGTGAGGGGTCTGGCTCCTCTTCCTCAATCATTGCTCCCGCTAGGCCATATCCACCAAACGTGTCGTTGTGCTCAATCTCGTTTCTGAAGATCTCCTCTTCTTCCACGGTAAAGTTGCTGCCCAACGTTTCTGCTATCGATTGGCGGCGCGATTCTGCTGCTGAAGAAATTGTGGGCAGCGCAAAGTCTTGCCCGACTGAACTGCCTGATCGAGGTGGTACAGTTGGGCCCGGCGGTCGGATATTGCTTGGGAGCGGACCTAAACACACTACTTTCTGCTGGTCGATGGGCGTCCGTTGGAAAGAATGCATATGTTGCGCAAAGTGCGACATGGGTGACGTTGGAGACCCAGCGGTTGATGCAGATCTGCTTATAGAGCGTCGCCGTTCAAGGGTATTTAGCGACGAAGGTGCGTAGCCGGAGCCAGGGTTTGATGTTGATCGAGGTAATGTGCTTCGGGGAGCAAATGGCATCGGTGACGAGATGTTTGGCATCTCACTGGGCGGCCAGTCCATGTTGTGAGGTGTCATTGGTGAGGGTATTGGAGAGGGTGTTAGATAAGAGTATTCATCATGCGTGGGTGTTGAAGCAGGGGAAAGGCTTCTGTTGTCGGAAAAGAGAGAGCGATCTGACCGGCGATGATGCGGGACAGAGCTAATATCCTGATAGCCCTTCTCGTAGCTGTTTCCATGCGTGTCTATTGGTGATGGACCAGGCGTGTACTCCGGTACCGGGCCCTGGAGCTGCTTATCCATCTTGCGTCGTGCGATCTCATACGGACTTAGATCATGGGTGTCGTCGGTTCCAAATTCAGTGGTACCATTGATTGAGTGAGCATCAGTCGCATCCAGCTCCACGGGCGGCGGCGGAACAGCCAGCTCATATCTCTCTTGCCCAGCAGCTTCAAAGGGCTGGGCGGTATCGCCAGACACTTCATATGCTGGAATCCTCCTACTCCTCCTGCCTGTGATCTTCCTAGTGATTCTCGAAAAAATCCGAGCCACAGGTGTCCTCGGGCATTCTGACTCAACAGACGAGGTAGTGTCCTTGAAGCTGTCTGCTTCCACCATGGTGCCCTTTTGCTGCTTTCGCCTCCTGCGGACACAGAAGACAATCAATGCGATGAACGATAGGACGATGCAAGCGCCCACAACAATGCCCACAATGGCAGGTGTGCCTAGTGCGCCTTCCGGGGATCCGGATGAAGATGCTGCACTTGGATAAGGATTGTCTGCAGAACTCTGGACTGCGATGATTGTTTTGTTGGTGTCTGCGTTGTCTGGAAATAACGCTTGGTGCAGAGAAAAAGTGCTCGACTCATAATTTGTCTTCATATATGACTCTTGCAAAAAGGCCCTTCCTATGATGATTTGAGTGCCATTGTCCGCTCGTCGGAGTGGAAAGTACGGAATTGCGGCATCACCGTATTGGAATAAGTTCATAAAAGGGTAGCGAAGAGTTTGGGCGAAAGCATTTGCGGAAATTGTTATGTTGACAACACCAGCCACATTCAGTGGGTCTCCGAAATTGTCCCGGTTGTCGCTGCTGGAGAGGGAAAACGTAAATGCCAAGCTGGTGTCGAAGTAGCTCTCATAGGTCGCATTACTTGCAAAAGTATAAAGACCAAATGTTTCGTTCCATGTCAAATTGAGGGCGTCTGCAAAGCGATCACAAATTACGGTTGGAAGCCATAGATATGGCGTCGAGCTGTCAATAAGAGCCACAACAGCTTCGTCAAATGCAGAGAGCGAGATCGACGTCGAATTCCACCCGGCAGAAGCTTGATCAGTGCTCGACATTGATGCTGTGATGGCTCTAATCAGAGCTTCAGGCTGACGTGTGGTTGAATTTAAGCTGAACTCCGTGTTGTGTGAAATGAAGCGGTTCTGATCATAGCCTCCAAGCACCAAGGACATGGGAGTTCCATATTGGCCGCCATAATATGCGCCAGCAGTGTAGCCGTAGCTATGACTCGGAATAATTCCATCTCGTTCAACCATTGTGGCTATAGGGCTCTGTACGACGGTATTTTTGAAGCGACCGGGAGTGATGCCTAGACCGAAGAAGCCAGTGTAATAGTCAGTATCGTTGATGGCAGCAACGACTTGTTTGTCCAAGTTGGTTTGGTTCTGCGTGACAGTGTTGTAGACAGCAACGGCTTCGGTCGCGTAATCGCCGTTCGCCACCTGCTGGAGGTAATCCAGCCCGAGTTCCCAAGCCCCAAGTGACTCCCAGTCTGTTGATGCGCTGATGTTGAATACATTGCCACGAGCCGCGGTACAGAGGGCACCTATGTCGTCGGGTTAGGTCATTCCACTTTCCATTACTTCCCAGGTAGGTCATGGTGATCTTACTTGCACCGCAGCCATTACTTTCAACTACCCAGATCTCCGACAGACTGGTGCTGACGAGTACGTCGACTTGTTGTCCAGGCACCCCGGCATAGAGGCCCATGGCAGACCAGTTCCCATCAATACCGTACCTAATTTAAGTGTTAACTCGATGTCCCACCTGCGTATAAAAGACCAAAGTATCAAACATGCCATTTTGTGGACGGCTCCAGCCACAACGCATCAGTATCAGCCCGGGCGAGGCCGACTATGAGCAAGAGACGGCCCAGAAGTGAAAGTGCATGGCGTGTCGATGCCATTCTAGCGTGCCTTGGAGGACCTCCTGGGAGTTATCGTGGGCAGGCGCGTGAGGACTACCGACACGCTACGAAGTGCTTCATTACTAGGGCGTGGAATGGTTGTTGATAGCGCTGCCGCAACCCGCAAGATGCCGTTTGATATAGTAGTGCAGGATGCCTAATCTGCTTTCCCCCCCTTTGGCGGACGACCTGCTTCAGAACAGCATCTGCTCTATCCAAACTTGTCCAGGAACGAATCGATCGCGGAATCAATCACGGCGAGAAAGAGTTGAGCATGAAAGAGAAAAATAATAACATGGCACAAGACACACGCACACAAAGCAGACAGAGCAGACAGAGCAGACAGGCAGGCAGTCAAAAGAATGAAGCAGGGTGGTGGGTAGGTACAGGGAGGTCAAGGTAGATGATGGGTTATCGACCGACAATCTCGGCAGTGAACGAATCGCGGTACAAGGGCTCCAAGTCGAACTTTTTGGAGCAGGTGGGAGGTGACTGGGGGGGGTGGAATAGGTGGCAGGTACATATTCTTACAGGGAGGGACCTCATGTCTTCTCTCTCTTCTTACTTGAGATCCCAGGATTTTAGCTTGTGTGGGTAGGTAGGTATAGGTAGAGGTCAGGCAAGTCCTTTGAGTGCCAAGGTTGAAGGTACACAGTACACAGGTAATGTAAAAAGTGCCTGCCACACCCCTACATCGTTATCCCATGCCATGCAAGCAAGACCGGACCCGACAGACGGACAGACGAGCAGGCAGACCGGGGCTTTCAGTGGCTGCTTTTCATGCCCCCTCTCTTTTTCCTCTCTTTCCCGCCCAGGGAGCTGAGATTATGTGTGAACTTGGGTCTAAGCGATTTACGGAGAATTTAGACGATCTCGCCCGCTGTCCCCCTTCCTTTTCTTTGCCTCCCCCTTCGTCTGACGTGGTTTTGACGTTTTTTTTTTTTTTGGGGGGGGGGGGGGGGGGGGGGTGCCTGTTGTTGAGTCTCGTCCATACATGACGCATAAAACAGATGTCTGCTGAGCAAGGCCAGGCACTTGGTTGAGTTGTAGCTGCGCAGGGGCTGTGACTTGGCCTTGGGGGGAGAGGGGCGGGTCTTGGGGGGTTTTGGCAGAGTGCCCACATACTACGGGACTTGGCCGGGCGATGATCCACGCAAAGTACAATTCATTCTCCATTCTATTCCGTACTCGAATGTCTTTTCTCGCGTGTGACTTATGGGCTCTGGTGGCTCTCGAGTCGGCGGGCGTGACACTACCGCCCGCTGGCCAAAGAAAAGGACTCCGCTGAAATCTCGCTAACACGAACTTTTTAGTGATGCTAAGGAGGAGAAACGGACGACGGCAATCCGGCCCAGCCCGCTTACGCTAGGAACTAAGTACACCACCAGACTACAAGACACACCATCCGCCCAACTAAGCCTTGTGGGCTCTACATATCTTGTAGTATTACGTACAATTACCTGAGGATCTGTGCCAAGAAGACTTGCTTGAATGCATTGTTTGAGGGCGATATCTCCTGTATCTACACAATCGTTCAGCACAAAACAATCGAGCCTGTTCGTCATTGGTTTTTTTCAAGTCTCACTAAACTCCATCAATCCTTTCTTTAATATCTGTTGTCATCTGTGTTTTATACCTGGTATCGGGGGGAAAGAAAGTTTGACGCTATCAACATTATTTGCTCTGGGCACTCTAATCTCTATTACTTCCAGGGGATACCCACAGTTCATCTGCCTCGCCTCGACGACCACATGGCTGAAACCTCGCGTGTGCTACACCGGGACACGAATGTCATCCTCCGCCTCAGCAGGGCTCAGTAACAGCAGCAGCAGTAAATAGGGCCAATTGAACGCCTCCCAACCGCGTTTCCTCCGACTCTTATCCAAGGCTGAGTTTCAATGCTGAAGAGAAAAGCAGCCAACATAGTGGCAACCCGATTTCGTTTTGGGTGCGCCGTCGGGTGATTGGAGACGGGGTCCACGTTGAATTTCATTTCAGGCCAGCTATGCAAACCCTTGTCTCCTGGAGAGATTGACCCAACCATCCAACATCGTCCATGGCATTTCCAGCATACCTGGATATTTGGATAAATACATGGGCAGAGCAACTCCGCTTTTACCGACTGGTCAAGTAATATGCTTACAGTACTGAATTGTAGATAGGTAGTAGACTGATGATCTCTCTTTGTGACATCTGCCTGATGGTCACAAGGTTCACGCGTAATCCTTAAACATTCCTGATGAATCATGTACAGAGAGGCCTGTACCTCTGCACCGTGTTCTGAAGCACGTCTTGATGTCATTCGCCATCTGTAGTACCTATCCTCTACGTTTTACCGGTTACTTCTCCCGCGGGAGTGAGATGTATTGGCTCCTGTACGAAGCTTGAGAGAAAATGCGCATAGGTGGAATTGACAAATACAAATGTTGTTTTCTTCTTCTTGTCAGCATGCGTATTTGACAGTTTCACCCAGCGAATTGTAGATTTGTTCGCGTTATAACTAATAAGCGCGTGTGCTGTCTGCGATGCCACCAAACTGGATAGGCAAGGATCTTCAGGGCAGTACTCTGTATCTACACTACATTAGTTAGTGCTCTACCCCGGAAGCTCGTCCGCTTTACGCTGAAGGTGTCGGTGCACATTATCAGACGTCTCTGTCTGATATTATAGCAAACGGAAAGTAAGGCCTAGATTTCTGACGATCGCAATTGTACATGCCGCGAAGCCCAGGCAAGTGTTTTAGCACGAGAGCCACAAATGTGCAGGCTCAACCAAACCCTCATTCACCGCTTGAAAACAAAGCCCAACTTTGACTTCTTCGTTTTTCCCACCTTGCTACAACCTGGTCAAAATCAAGAGTTTTCTTGACTTGGGAGGGGATCGATTGATGGCGTCCGAGCCTCCGAGGGACATCTCCGGAGACGACGAAATCCGGCGGGCTAGCCCCCGTCACCTTCTACAAGGGGCAAGGTCTTTCGAAATTTGGGCCAAAGTCAAGCCGCACCCCCTCCAACTGCGCAAAAGAGGCCGTCGACCCTAACAAACTACATGGACCTTGTACTATAGGTTGTTGTTACAATCCAGACTGGTGGTAATGGGCATTGACCCCACCAGACACACAAACGAACAGGTGGTAATGGTGAACCCAAGCCAAAGTGTGAATGCCAATGGTCAAGACTTGTCCTGATCCGCAATTGGTCTGTCTGATCTTGATGACTGTGACCAAGCACGCGAAAACTCTCCCAGGCGATATGAGTTGATTAGGAAGGCTGGAATGAATAGCTTCGATCTCGCCATATATTTGAACACGAGACGGCCAGTGCCTTGTCGTCTTATCTCTTTTTTTTTTGGCGTCTCAAGAAATATCTAGGCCTTTTCTTTCTTTCTCCCTTTTTCACATATGAAGATCCGTAGACAATAACGCGGAGCCGAGCGTTTGACAAACTTGCAACCTGTCCCGTTGATTAGCAGAGCCTACATGCACGCTCAGTACAAGATACGGGTATATTTTGTATTGGGTGTTGCGCGTCCCCAAATCAATAGCGTCTCATTCTCGCCTTCGGTAAATGGAGGAGGGGGAAAAAGTGGTTGGGTTCTCGCTACTCAAAGAAGCGATCATCAGTGAACATGATCGAGTGCCGCGTCGTCGGTCCCGTCCCACCTCCACTTCAGTCTTTCCCACCCCTGCAGAAGAGCACCTCCATACAACTCACAGGGTTACCTCTCTACCTACACCATTGCCATTGATATCCCGAGACTGAAGTGACGATTTAAGAGTTCGTATTGCTTTGACCGGAATGCCTTGTATCCGCTGCATGCAAATTCGGTACCGGTTGAAGAAAGTAATTGTACGCAAGAAAGACGCGACGTTTATTCTTGTTTTGTTTTCCTCCCCTCCCTCTTCTGAAGCTTTCGAATTTGAGCAATGCTTGGTGAGGTTGCATAGTCCGTATGACAGCTCAACTAACAAGTGCATATATCTATTTTGCTGGGGACGAGTAGTCGACGTGGTCAAATCGACCTATAATTATCACGTCTCGAAGTTCGTCTCTTACACGGTAGAGTTCTATTGAGTTTCAAGCTCTAATTGGCGTATAACTATTTCATTGCAGAAGAAGAAAAAGAGTATATTTTGGATACCGAACAAGTGTGGCAATCTTTTTGAGTGGTTTCCGGCATAGTGGAAAGTGTTCTTCTATTCAGCAGTTGGATTGATTTGCTGAACGTGTTGCTTGGAGTATTGCGCGGATAAGCTTAAAAGAAGATCGCCACTCCATGGCTAGGCGGTCCGGTCAACCCATGGGGCGCGCGTAGGGCGACAGGCTCATACAAGACTAAGAACGCCACAAGCGCACAGCAGGATCGAGACGATGAAAACCGCTCGAGAGGATGACTTGCATGACTGTTCTTATCTTCTCATGTGGCGCGTGTATTACAGTGAGCGACCGTCTTTAGGGGCTTGCAAGAATCATTAGTGTTGTTGACCGAGACACACGGCCAAGGCCTCTTTTCAAACTCTCCCTACTCTGTTGTACATGTTATCGCACACCTGTGGAGATACGGCACCAAGCTCCGTACGAGAGATTCTGGTCCTTGCCGCGCTGCTCTCTTCCCACCCCGTACAATCGGTGTCCCATGAGCCCATATACACATGCAGCACACCTCACAATATCTGCCGTCGGGATAAGTAGATGATACCCCTCTTCACTATGCAGCTTTGCTGCTGTTCCAAAGTCCAGACTTCTGGCAATTTATGTGGCCGGCGCCCATGACAGAAGTACAAGGTGCGCGCGGTCGAGCTTGGGCGGAGCGAGCCCAAAGAGGCTTGCCGTTGTTAATGACGCGGAGGACCTTCCAGTTTGACGAACCAGTCATAGCACCTGCCTAGCTCTCGGCATCTCTAGAGAGAGGGAGAGAGTGTGAGAATGAGATAGATGGCCCTGGGTAGGCTCATTGTGAAGAACAGTCTCTGTCATCTGCTGTCATCACCCCTCTGGTCGAGCAAATCGTGTCTCTCTTCTGGGACCAGAGCGTTGGATGACAACCTGGCATTATAGACCGGCTTACCTCGTAGTGAGCTGGATCGTATTCTCCTCCAATGCAGGCAATGTTTTATCCATCTCGCAATACGCTACTGCCAGAGGAGCAAGCCACCTGCAGGCCAAGCCGAAAATGCTGCTACACATCAATGGCTGAAGAGTTCCTTGCAACCCTTCATCTGCTGGTGGCTGCGCAACGGAACATTCGCCCAGGCTGGGCGTTGCTCGTCCATGCCCAGTTCGGCTGTTCCCCTGTTGTTCCCCTGCAGTCCTCGCATTTTGGGGTCACGGTCAGCAATGGTCATCAGTCAGGGTCCCAGATGAACCGACCCACCAGCTCCGGCTGATACCATATATCTCCAGTATGGCTTCGCATATGCCGTATGGGAAAATGACTTGGATTATTGAAGAGGGCATAGTAGACTTGGTATTCATCACTCGCTCATATGTACCACTCAACTGTGCTTGCTGCCTTTTAGCCTCTCTTGTATTCCTGGCGCCCTCTCTCCCCTCCCTCTCCCTCTACGTAGGTGCCGAGCATCAGTCGGCGGTAAAGTATCGCCTTTGGGACGGGACGCCCGCCTTCTGCTGCACAGCTGAATTGGCTGTTGCCCTTTTCGTCAATTAATATTGTCTTTCGATATTGTTACGTCTATCATATGAACACTTGCGCCCACCATTTTCCTTTTCTTGGTCATTGCCAGTTCACTCACATTGAGGGGCCTTGACTTGACTCTTCATCCAGGCAAAAGGAGAGCCAGCGCCATGTGAAGCTTCTTTTTGAAAGAACCTCCCTGCGCACCACACGCAATGTTACTTGTCAGTCGGAAACTGCTGTGTCTTGCAGCTCTGCTTTGCAATGGATTGGATCAGGCTGTGGCAGGTTTGTAATAGAGGTCCTACTGCATAACTCAACTAACACACATTGCAGCACCCCACATGGGTCATGTCGAGCGACGACTTGCGAGCAATAATCAGACCGCTGCCAGCATAATAGAATCAAGTGGTACGACTGTGCCAGACTCCAACCCATCATCCACATCAATCGAGTCTACCAGTATAACTGAAGACGGGGTCGTGACTGCACGGCTCTCGGTTGCCTCTGTCTCAACATCCAGCACCGTTTCGACCTCCTCAGGTCAGGGATTTGCGCTTCACGGCGGATTGGGATCCATCACCACAGTTGCAAGGCCAACCACTTTCACACTGGGATTAGGCACGGCCGCCACGACATCTCAGAGTAGTAGCCAGACTTCGAGAGAAACCTCGGCAACCTCGTCAGAAACTTTGAGGGAAACCTCAACAGCTTCGTCAGAAACCTCGAGTGTTGCTACAAGCTCCGACTCTTCCACGTCAAGTGCAGCGTCCCTTGACCCTTATCCGATATCATACATCAATGCCAGCAGCACAACTGTCCCTTCAATTACATTACCAATCAACAGCACGGTTTATGAACTGGGCTGGAATTCGACAGCAACCATCAGTGGAGAGCCAACCATAATCACGACTGAGCCGCCGCTCATCACCACCTCCTATGATGTTTTGACACTCTCTACACCCACAGATGAACAGACGGTGGATTCCTGCGATGTCACAACCAACAGCAATACTGTGACTGTATGGTCGACCATTTACACAACCACCATTACGTGGACATTGCCGCCAGAACAGTATACGCCACCGTATCCAACCACCACTAGCACACCCATAATTTGTGCAGATACAACTGGCCGCTTTTCTGTGTCCAAATGCGAAGGCTCAGCTTGCACGCAACTATCATATCCCGTGGGTGCGACGAGTGTCCCTCACGTCGACCCGACTGCTACCAAAGGAACAACAACTGTTGCTGCAAGCAACTCTGGAGGGAGAGCAGGTGAAGCGACTATTACTTTTTACACAACAGACAAGAACCCGGCAGTTGTGTACTCATCCCGAGCACCTCCAGATTATGGCGATGACGGAACAACTCAGGTTCAGGACCACAATACGCCAGACAATAATGATGCTGCCACCGATGTCCCGCAATACGAAAAGGGAACCACGACTGTCATAGATGCTGGAGCTACTGGTGGCAGTGGTGCTGCTGCCCCAGGAGGGAATGGCGGCGCTGGCAATGGCGGTGCTGGCAACGGCGGTGCTGCACCGACGTCCCCAGCACCTGTCCAGCAACCGCCATCCCCTACAAGTACAGCCATAACCGTCATTATTCAGACAACGCAAGTCATCATTAATGATCAAACTTTTACCGACAGTCCCCAGAGCAAGACTGAGACCGTCGTGGTTGGTACCGATACCTTTGTCATCAACCCAAGCGAGGTTATCGGTGCTGGCGCCACAGTGGCAAGACCAGCTCTGGGAGGAGTCTTTATGACCACGGCCACGACCACTACAATCGCCGGAGTGCAAGTTGTATATACTCCAGTGGGAAGCGCAGCAGCCAATGGAGGTTCTACAGCCGCCGTGGCTACAATCGATGGCACAGTCTTCACGCTGGGTCCAACAACATCGACCGCCGTGGTCAAGGGTCAGACCATTACGCTCGGTCCTGGCGGCATCGCCTTTGCCAGCCAAACTATTCCGATCGTGACAGCGGCAGGAGGAGCTACAGAATCTGCTGTGCTCGGCGGCGAGATGATTACAGCGATTGGAAATTCGGTCGTGGTCGTTCACGGCACAACGATCACTTATGGGCCAGACACGAGCCCCATCACACAAGTCATAGATGGTGATACCGTGGTGATTGGGCCATCTGGTGTCACTGTACATGGCATAACATTCGGAGGCCCGACTGCCGCGCTGACCGCAACAACATACGAGATTGTGGGCGGAGCTACCATCACCGAAATTGGCGGCAGTGCCGTTGTCATTGAAGGCACGACATATCTCATCGGTGCTGGCGCTGCTACGGCAATAACGACTGTGGTTGATGGCCAAACCCTGACTATTGGCCCCAGCGGTGTAGCCATGTCTTCATACACGTTTGCACAGCCATATGCCACGAGCACCGTGATTGAACCGGGTGGCACGTCATCGGTAGCGGCAGCGACCACGACTGCAGAGAGTATGGGCTCCCAATCACGGCCCAATTGGAGTACGGGAATAATCGGAATGTGCATAGCGATCGGCGTTGGTTTTGTTGGGGGTTTGATTTTATGATAAAGACAAGGCATTGAACACGACTCAGTGGCTTTGTCTTTTCTTTTTTTCTCACGGCGTAAACGGGATGAAGCATTCAAAGAAAGGTTGCGAATGTAAACGGTAACGATCACGACAATGTAAAAATACCCCCTCAAAACCTGCTGTTCGGGAGCATCAAATTGGCTGTCAGCGGGTTCGTGTCGTTGGTAGCTAGATATACCATAAACCACGTGTGGCTGTACATATCAAGTACAAGAAGTAAATACATTTTTGTAAACCAATTTCAAAATATTTACACCCATTTTTACATCCACGTACAAATCAAAACACTGTTGACATTCTCCAAAATTTCATATTAGCATTATGATCATGAATGTCTAGAGCGTCCAACACTAATGAGACCATGATCTATAGAGAGCAAGAGAATGTGAAGCATATGGGCTAATGGCAATCGCTTGTCCCGATTGCGTGTCTGTTTTGCCACAGGCTTGTATCACTTAACCATCATCACTAGAAACGGCACTCGTCGTGACTTTGCCAGACGCGCGGCAAAACCCAATAATTCCCTAAAAGGAAGAAGGATCAAGCCCGCTTCATCCGATAGGGTACCAGGAAAGACCACTACTCAGAAGGAAGCAAGCCCAAGGGGGCGATACACAGAAGCCTCTCGGATCGAGCCGTGATGGGGAACCACACAACATGGACGGAAATCCCGGTCATCTGCCAATGCTAGCTTGGGCAGCCATGGAGAAGTAAATGCCATGCTTTGGGACATGCAATTGATTTATTGACAGCCGAGCGAGCCCTCAGCTCTTTCTCTCTATAGGCCACGAGATCTCCATGGTCTGCGTCTCTGTCGTCTAAACTTTCCTCCCCCACCACCAATTCCAGTCGACCGCATCTGTAAGTTGCAGATCGTTGCCAGATGCGAAAGAAGCCAAGTTGCGACTATTCGCTTGGTCCTGCTCGGATATGGGCGGGAGATGTGGGGTGGGAGGAAGGGGTGGTCGTGTCGTTTGGGGGGGCAGCCGAAAAAGGGACAGCCATCCGCAAGGCACAATATGGTGTTCATGGTGGGCTGCTGCTGCTGCTCACATCCCAATGCCGCGGTTGAAAATGAATAAGAAAAAGAAAAAAAAATCTCCGGGCCCCGCGGCTGTTCCTGAAGGTCTTTCCCGCTTTCAGTTAAAAGTGTCTTGGACGTTTTGTATCTTGAATAGCCATGTGGCCTTTCCCCCCATCCTACTCCTTATGTAGCTACCACGGTCTGAGAAGTTGGCCAGAAATTGCAAGATCTTAATACACATCACTTTGGATAGAATCATAGGATCACATAATAATCGTGCGGAATAGACACACGATAATCAGTTTCATGTGTCCCGCAAATGTAACCCCTAGCAAGAAGAAGGAATAATTGATCAGTATCTCATGCAGGCAATTGATTGACCACGAGGTGGCTTTGGAAAAAAAAACCCCCCCCCTTCTCGGCCAATGCGGCCGAGCTGAAGAGCCATGTCGCTGCATATGGGTGTGAGACAAGTTGCCCTCTTTGCTCCAAATTATGCACAGAGAGAGCCCATGCGATGCGACGTTTTTATTCTGGCTGGACTCGGACAAGAGAGACTGCGGAGAATCGAAGAAAGAGACAGCGATCAACTCTGTCTGGATTTTTCAGTTTGACCAATACCGTGGCCGTGAACACAGTTTTTTTTTTTCCCCCGGGAGCGTTTGGGGAATATTCGGGCCCGAGACCGAGAATTCAAAAGGCGAGTGGGTGTGCTGCCAAACGCGCCATTCAAGATCGTTTGTGCACGCTCAGGAGAGAGAGAGGAAAATATATGCGGTGCGGTGCGACTCAATAGTACCAGCTAACCTAGATATATACATGCGAGGGACTTACAGACCCCCGCTCGTTGCTTTCAGCTTGTTACTGTCAAGAAAACATATCCTGTCCCTCTATTCTCTTGTGCTGCATAAAATGCTTATTCTACGTTTCTCTGCTTCACAAGTCTGGCCGCCTCTATACTCTGCATTGATTGTCAAGAGGCAGATGAATACGAAACGCAGCATTGCCGGATTTGTCGGGAATCGCGAGCTCCCGATACGATGGTGTCGCTTGTGGTCAACCAAATACTATCAAAATAGTAACCGAAGACACTAATCCATGCTTGTTCCTCTTTCTATTCTAGCTGTCAGTCATTCGGTATTTGAGGCCAAGAGAAAGAAGAAGCAGCTCTTGGGCCGAGTTAGAACCAAGCAAATCGTTCATCTGCTTTGCCCCAGAGGACCTCATGTCTTGAATTACAGACAATGTCATTTTATGCTGATACGTACACTCTTTAGAATCACAATGACATGTGTTTCTCATTCAAAGTTTTTCTCAGTGACCCAAGACGCCGTAATGGATGATATGTCAATGCTGATTTTAATGCATGGAATGTGTGCCCTGCCAGAGATGTTACGCCTCGTCAAGAAATATATCACTCCGTCCGAACTCCTATGTCTATGTTGTTGTCTCGTCTCATCATTCCTTTGATTTACCATACCTCCTCCCAGACCATGTTGTTGCGCACAAGATAGTCCCACGCGTCAACATTTGGGTCGACGACACCACCCCGAACCATGACTTCGGCAATGGCATTCTTGACGGCCTCGGGCATCGCACCCGAACTTCCACATACTGCGATGGTAGCCTGGGCTTTGATCAAGCTGCAGACGAGTTCCCACTGGGTCCGTATGACATCTTGGACATAGATTTTTTGTTTTTGATCTCGCGAGAACGCCGTGTGGACCTCGACGTCTAGCTTTGGCCATTCATCTTTGAAAAAGAAGTCGGCCTTCTCATTGCGCGAGCCATAGAACAAGTGGTTGGGGCCATGAGAAGATTCCCGCTCCTGCTCCCGTTCCCAAAATACAGCGCGGATGGGGGCTACTCCTGTACCCGTGGCGATACAGAGAAGAGGCCTCTCGATGATTTGTTTGTTGGAGACAAAGGGTCCGCCCCGTCGGTTCAGTGTAATGTTGATACGACTTCCGGGCTGCAAGGACTCAACGTAACGTGAACACAGTCCCCTTCGTGTCTTTCGCAGAACCGTCTTGTACTTGACCAGTGCAATGAGAAGCTCGACGTGGTACTCCGGGGATGCTTCGCCACCGGGCTGGGAAAGCTTACCAGCACTCGCAATGCTATACTCGCGCCCTCGAATGAGAGGAAACATGGAAGGTATGTGCTGATATGAGATTTTGATGGACAAAAAGTCCTGCAAGATCTCCAAGATGGATCTTCGAGGGCGTGTAGTGTAATCGTAAAACTCGTCGATGTACTTGGGATCCGAAAATTCTTCAAGTCTCTCCTTCTGCATGGGGTCTGATGCAAAGAACCTTACAGAGTCGAAGAAGGATCGTTTTGGTATGGCAGTTATGTCATAATTGTTTGTCAATAGTTGACGTAACGAACTGTTCTTGGCGGAATAACAATTAGGGGGTGTATATTCCTCTGCAGTGGCGCCATCGCCTCGCAAGTAATGTCTGAACGGCTCGTCGGCCACATCGTTCCAATTCATCAGGTCTATCAAGGCCTGAACGTCCTCGGGGAAGTTCCTTGGGTAGAGAACGACACTGTCGCCAGCATTGTTCAAGAATCTGTCCTCGGTCTCTGCTCGGGGCAGTACATCCAACTTGAGTTGCCGTACATCCTGCCAATGGCCGTCTGGGGTAAGTCGATCGTTACATTCGACAGTTGCTGTCCAGGACTCGGGAATTGGAAGTAGATCATTGAGCATCGCTTTGTCACCAGTATAAGGCTCCTCTGCTTGGTCCTTCTTGGCGCCGTTTTCGACGAAAGTGTCCTTCTCTTCGGTCATTTGGCCAGCCACACTAAGCTGGCCAAAACGTAATGTCTGGCAATCAAGTCCGTTACTATCAACGTTTTCAAGGTGGTCTCTATGAAAGACTTTGTCTTTAGCAGCCACAGAATCTCGTTCGAGAATGACTTTTGGTGGCAAAGGAACATCTTGTGGGATTGGCAAAACGCCTTCGGGAAGAGGCCACTCAGATAACAGGTGGGAGCGCAGGCTGATTAACCACGGTAGAAAGGCGCCATCTATTCTAAAGTCAAGTTAGCATGGAGTGTTGGTCTGGCCATGGATTGGACGGGTCACGACGAGGAGAGTCAGCAAAGATCAATCATCACCGTCTCCCTTGGAAGGAAGCTGATTCCAGGGTATGGAAAAAAGAAAGAAAGAAAAAAGAAGAAGAAGAAGAAGCGTCGCTCGAAAACAGAAACAATAACAATACGACGGACAAAGTATGCTCCAATAGGAGGACCTGGTCTGACTCTTGCATAATCTGCCACTTGAAAACGAAGAGCACGACCATTGATCCTAAAGGGTATGTGCCAGGAAGGGACAAGGGTTGCACATATGGCACAGTTTACATACCCATCTTCATGTCGTTCATCTGCCTCACCACGAGGATAAAATTCAGAGGCTCCTAGCTGAAGCAGCCGTTTATGGAATTTTCTGGCAGCCCAATTATATCTGAGAAATGAGTGTCAACGTCTTAAATCCTTTCGGAAGCATTATTTGGGAGAGACAAACTGTCTATATGAGCTATCTCCCAGGCCAAACGTTGTGAAATTAACGTTTTTAAAGACTGTTGGCGGTAATCTTTTGGAGAGGAGTCTTTTCCATAAGAGCCGCGAGTTCTTTGGCATCTCACCTTGACCAGTCGTAGAGATGACTAAAATAACGAGCGGGTACTGAGTGAGAGTTTTCTGGAAAGTTTGTCAGTTAACTATTTTCTCTTATATAGGGTGAGTAGGGTCATCGTAATGTATATAATAGGTGGTCAGAAGACGTTATTGAAATGCTGGAAATGTCTCGCATGTTGTGCAGCTTCACACTCATTGTTGAGGCATCCCACACGTGAAGTGAGTCTGCGACACAGCAAACAGTGGAGAAGATCACCTACCAGAGTGATTGTGTCGATGGCAAACACATCTGCCCTGAAGCGCAGGCGCTCGGCCATAGTCTCCAGGTCTATAGCAAAATCGTGACTATTGCCTGTCTCGGAGCCATATAAGATGAGGATTCTCCTGCCGTCGGTCGGCAGGACCTCGCCATTGGAGGCTTGTTCATTGGCCATTGCGTTGAATGGGACGAATCGAGATTGCGACACTTCAGATGGACAATGAAGACACGAGGCTGCCCGTTCGTTCGTTCACCTTGGGGAGATGCACTCGACGATCCTAGCCCCTGTAGCATTCGAGTGTATAGAGCCCATGGAACCAATGTCAAAGGTCGAAAAGTAATAATATACCATGTGGGCATATGTGCAATGCCTGATTCATCAATGGTGCCCACATTGGAAGTGCCGCTATCGCAACAAGCATTCTCTACTTGGTTGCTTAGCTGACGTCCACCTCCGATGCCGATGTGGGGCTTTTTTTTTTTTTTTTTGTTCTTTTTTGTTCCCTAGGTAGGTAGGTACCTTCAAAACTCGCCTTCCTTGTGATTCGTCCGTATTACCTACAGATTTTCCATGAGTGCACTACAAATGCATACTGCTCGTTCACTCATTACCTACCTGCCCTACCCAGGCCACCAGGTGTCTTACCAGAGCTACCTACCTATAGGTGCTGTGAGTGGAGAATCGAGCCCCGGGGCTCAAGCTGCCTTGAGAACCGGTCCGGCAGCGTACCTAGTGTACGTACCTACTTAGTATTTCTGCCAATCAGCGGTACAGGCATATACAAAGGCGAGCTTGGTGGATCGGCAGGTACCTAGCTGTCGCTGTCGCTACCTACTGGCAAAGATCGCTCCCCGCCAATTTTACCTGCAACATGACCACTGACGTGACGTGACGTGTCGAAGGACTTCTTCGAGTTTGCCAGCAGGACCCTTCTATTGACACCTCAAACAGTAGCTTTGATCTGCTGGTTGTAGCATCATCTTTCGCTGGAGGACAGCTAGACTTTTCTGTTCTTTGGTGTAATTACCTTATATTCTTTTAACTTTTTTTTTTTCAACCCCTGGCACTTCCTGTTCCGTTCCTTGACTCGGCGCCAGCCTGGAACAAGGCCAAAGGAAGAAGAGCACTGACCCCTTTCCGAATACATTACATACAACGAACAGCGATCCCTACACGAGCAGCGACGAAGACATCGAACGGCACGATCACGCCCCCAAAGTCGAAACCAGCGCCGGAGCTAGAGCTCTTTCAACATGAGATAACTGCTCTGTCCGTCCCGAATCTAGCTTCAGCTTCCTTCTTCTTGCCAAATGCCTCGCAGTCGACCGGCCACCACCGGCTATGAGCGCCTGGCTCAGGCTGATCAGTTTAGCGATGACTCTGATGAAGAAGTCCTTGGTCAGAGCTTTGCCTCTCTACAACCCCAGACCGCTCCAAGATATGCCGCAGCTACGCAGCCTCGCCCGCACTCGGGCATGGCCTCTCCCGATGCCGCCAAGAATAGACACCGTCCTAGGAGGGCGAGAACCAACTCTGGCGTTGACCTGAAAGCTATCAACGCACGGCTAGAGAGATGGGCGGATGAGATCGCGTCCAAGTTCAAAAGGGGGAAGGGCAAAGGGAACCACGGTGATGAGGAGCAGCTCGAAATTCATTACAGCGTCTTCCATGCTCCCGACGGCGTGCGTCCCGCCACCGCCGAAACCCTGGCCGCCTCGTCTCACGAAACGGCCATGTCAAGAGAGCAGTTTGAGGAGATTGTCGAAAGCGTACGGACGGCCATAGACCAGGGAATGCACCCGAGCATGATTACTCAAGGCAGTTCAGGAAGCTACTTTGCCCGCAACACCGACGGCAAGATTGTGGGAGTTTTCAAGCCGAAGGATGAAGAGCCATATGCCGCCGGCAACCCCAAATGGAACAAATGGATTCACCGAAACCTATTTCCATGTTGTTTTGGTCGGGCTTGTCTTATTCCCAATCTGTCGTATGTGAGTGAAGCTGCAGCTTACACCCTTGACTGCCAGTTGCGCACGAACATGGTCCCATACACGGATGTCGTCTGGTTATCGTCCAAATCTTTCCACTATCCCTACTGGGATCGCAGAAACTTCTATAGGAAGAAGAAGCCACTCCCTGCCAAAGCTGGCAGCTTCCAAGTCTTTTTGAAGGGCTTTAAAGATGCCAACGTCTTTCTCAAGCAACATCCGTGGCCCGATCAGTACTGGTCTGGATTCCGCTCAAATGATACACATCGCCACAAACAAAAGCGGTGGGCCGACAACTGCCGTCCGACGAGCAGGAGGGTCAATGGCAACGAAAGTGACGACGACTATGATGCGCCAACGCCGCCTCCGCTTGGCCCGGATAACTTCGTCTGGACCGAGGGGCTCAAGCAAGCTTTCCGCGAGGAACTAGAGAAATTGGTGATTCTGGATTACATCATGCGTAACACGGATAGAGGACTTGATAATTGGATGGTCAAGGTAGATTGGGAAACTCAAGAAGTGTCAATCGCCTCAGAGCCACCTCAATTCAACATGGACACAGCGGATGATGATGATGATGATGATGAGGAACAGCAACCAGCACGCCCGGTGGATCTCACCGAAGGAAGCAAATCCAGGAGCTCCAGCCGGAACCCTTACAAGGCCCAAAAGCCGATGAACGCTCAGGGGTCTACCAATATGCGTGAGCCCAAGATGTCTATCGGGGCAATTGACAATTCATTGTCGTGGCCTTGGAAGCACCCGGACGCTTGGCGAAGGTGAGTGCAATGACAACGCGGCCGTGATGAATGCTCACTAACTGTCTTCTAGCTTTCCATTTGGCTGGCTCTTCTTGCCAGTCGACTTGATTGGCCGACCATTCTCACAAAAGACACGTGACCATTTCCTGCCGCTCCTGACTTCAACTGAGTGGTGGAGTCAAACTCAGTTGGCCCTTCGAAAAGTCTTTAGGCTCGATCCAGACTTTCAAGAGAAGATGTTTTCTCGGCAAATGGCCGTCATGAAAGGTCAAGCCTGGAACGTGGTTGAGACTCTCAAGACTCCAGACCACGGTCCGTTGGAGCTCACGCGGCGCGCCAGAGTCTGCGTTTGGGACGATCTTGTAGACGTCCCTGTAGCCGTGCCCATGCGTGCTGCTAGTGCCGAGATGCGTCGCAAGGCGGAACCTGAATTACACGATGCAATTGAAGAGGAGATGGATATCGGAGCTGCCAACTCTTCCAGCGCCCCGAACGTCCAAACAGACGACCTCCTGGGCTTTGCTAGCCCCCTGCCCAACCCGGGACGTTTTGAACTCAGCACTCCAAGGGCACAGTCTCCTGACGAAGCCACGACTTCGCCCAATGGAAGATCTTCGGCTCATTTCGACGAGGTAAACGCATTGGGATCGCAGAACTCAACACCAAGGCCAAAGATATCGCGCGCTGCACCACGAGCCAGCTACCAGGGTCCTTCGCGGCCAAATGCCAACATGTACACCCCACGCCGCGAGAGACGATTCAGTTTTGCGACTGCCGCGGGACGACGCAACAGCAACTCCATTGCTCAGCAAATGTATGGCGACTTTGCCGCCGATGACGACGACATGGAGGGTGATCTCGGCTATGCTGCCGCAGAAGGCATGGAGGGCAATAGGCGAAAAGTTATCGTGGAGCGTTTGGAGACGGTCAAGGCAAGGAATCCGGTGTTTACTTGTTGGTAGAAGGTCCACTGGCGTTGAGATCCCCATGGGAAGCATGACTTATGGCACAATTTATCGCGTTCTGGAGTATAAATTGGTTCGGTCTAAACCACAAAAAAGACATGGTGCATCAGACTAGACAAGGACGAGCGACTCCATTGCTGGCTTTGGCTTATTTTTCTCTCTTGCGGATCTCCAGTATTGGCTTGTGGAGTTCCTTTGGTCTTTATCCTTCTCTCTCCTCCTTGGTTCACCTCTCAATCATATGACATGTACTACATGCTTAACTTGTGACGAGGCACCGCCTAAGCGCGCTTGTATTCGACTTGGAGACAAGGGAGGTTAATGGCATATAATCATCATCCATGACTATGGGCAATGATTGTTGTTTCTGCAATGAAAGGTGATTATACTTGTACTGGAAAGTATGAATGGATTTGTTCTAACTAACACCAAGCCCTCTTAGCCAACTTTTCTTGTTCCAATATTTACCGAGCGGTGATGTGCGTTTTTTTTTTTTTTTTTNTTTTTTTCGAGTCAAAAGCCAATGTACGGGTTGTGGTAAACGTTGCCCTCTAATGTAGGGAGCCCGGTGATTTGCCATTTCTAGGCAGTAGTCTCTGGGCAGCGCCGCACAGTTGCTGATTACTGATCCAAGTAGGGTAGATTACAACATTTCTCTTCCTTGGCGGGCACTAGGCATCAGTACGTAGATGCCCTGAACGATGCCAGCAACCTCTGTGGACATGAGATGCCTATTTCATGGCCATGATATTTGCAGCTTTTCAGGGATATAGATGCTATTGGGAGTTTTCTGTAATTGCTTCCTTTAATTTATCTGGATCTTGACACAAAAACACAAGATAGTGAGTGCAAAGTGACAGGTAAAAAAGCAGCCTCTTGCTGTCCCCTCGGCAGCAACATCAGCAGAACATTTCGCTCTACGGCACGGCTCCGAAGGATGCCGACCAGCTTCAGTGCATGAGCTAGTGTGCGTTCACCAGATCTCACCTCTGTATGGAAAATAAGTGCCTAAATTTCGGAGAGGGATCCGAAGCTGAGAGCAATTGTTCAGTGGGGAAAACATGTTCTGTGCTGATGGCGGGAATCTAGTTTGATGAATCCTAATCGGCCGCTCAACGTGTTGTAGGATGATGAGTCGATTCTCATAGCAGCGCGGGGAGCTGCTGACATGGCTTTGCTTGGACAATCATGTCATGAATTATGAGCCGGAGAGCTGAGCCGGACACGCGTGTCCCGTCGGTCGGATAGTAAGCCCGTCAGCCAAGGCAATGTTAATGAGTTTCTATGGCATATGGAGGCGTTTGTTGTTATGCTGAGCGGATATGATGATCCCCACCAGGGACTTTTTGGGGATATTGCTACACACTCTGTACGTATGAAGCAATATACAATATACACAAGCTAAAGCGCAGTCAAGAAAGCGAGGGGAAGCAGAGGGGAGTGCCGTTAGAGTGCACTTTTGGCAGAGAATGGGTCATAGCACCTATCATAGTTTGCAATATGGTTGAGCAACCGAGAGTGGGTTTGCATGTGTCCGAGTAAAATATCCACCTGGCTTGGGAAGCAGGGGAGGGGAGGGGAGGGGGGGGAAATGTACACGTAGACTTTGTACCCAACTGTCTAGAGTGAGTGAGTCGGATAGAGGGAGGTAGTGTACACTCACTCACTCACTCACATACTCACATGTCGATGAGTTGAATGGAAATGGCTAATATACATAATGCTGCGTGTACATTAGTAGTAGTGCTGCTCCACGCAGAACTACATGATCCTTGCTGGCTGATTAGCGTGGCCCGACAAACTGGAACCTGGATTTTGCTGCCGTCATCGCATGCAGGGAACGGTCAGCAACATACTACATAGGGAGCCAACCCACAATACATGGAAGCGATCTGCCCAAAAAGAACTCCAATTGACAGAGAGTTCAACTCGGGTAGTTGCCAGGGTCCTTCTCCATCTGGGTTCGAGGCTCGGGGGTATCCAATCACAAACAGCACCACAACGCCGCCCCTGTCCTTGCCGTGGTGTGGGTATCACAGCCGTAAAATCCAATCAGTGTCCTTTTTGGCTGGTACTTTTTTTTTCTCTCTTCAAATTCTTTCTTTCCCCCTTCTCCTTGCGAGCGGCTCTTTTGTGGGCGCAGGGAGCAGTGGGAGGTAGTGAGAGGGTCTTGCTTCACCTACCGGCGATTGGTTTGCCTCATGCTTGGGTCTGTAATGTACTGTGTAGAGTGTTGGGGAAAAGCGAGGTCCTTCTAGAAGCTCTCTGTCAAACAGGGGTATCATCCATCAGGGGGATTTGATGGAAATCCCACGTCCTGCGGGTGATTGAGCCTCATTAACCTGACAGCGAGCACCCCGCCGAAAATAGCCCATGCTCCGAAGGAGTTGCGATGTATTTTCTTGTGAAACGTTTGACGCTAGCGTATCGTACTTTGTGCACCTACAAGGTCGGTCAAGGTTGGGGGAATGGATGGATAGATACCTACTACCATGCCAGATACTGTATGTAGGTAGGTAGGTAGGTAGGGATTGTATAGATGGTAGTTTGACATAACTAACCATGGGCATCCCGATCAGTCAACAGGAGCCATGCATTAGTCAATTGACATTCGCTGGCTGATAGCCTAACTTCATACAGCCATAAGTCTACCATAAAAAATGTGAAAAATAATTTGGAAGTTATACAATAGATTGGATTTTCTTAGAGTTATTTCTTTTATTTTTGTTCTTTCGAGATTAAGTGTTTTGACTGGTGATATGTGGAGTTGAAAACACAGTGTCTTGGTGACGAATGTCAATTGACTAATGCATGGGTCCTGTCAAATGTCTCCTCCTACTGCTCTCTCGTCAGCCGACGTTTTGGGCAAACCATTCCCAAACAGTCTACTGAACCGAGAATCCGGAAACAATTGCACTGATGGCTGGGTGGACAGGCGGATACAGACGGGCGTGCTTGCATCTTTCGGCCTCGCCGGAGTTGCCACAAATTGATGTATCCTTCTTGAGTTCAGTGGCATCGTATGTAGGCATCGTTGATGCTCGGACTCCTGCCATGGTGCCCACTGTCACGTAGTATGTAGTAAGAGCATTGAAACCGGCAACTCCGTCTTCTTGTCTCTGGCGTTTTCCAAACTAGGTAGTACACCGCCTCTGATATGATATTAAGCCCACAATGCTCCAGAATGCCATAACGGTAGCGCCTCAAGCATTGAAACCTCCTGTTATGCAAAGGCCGAGCACTCCACCAGCAGTCATTATCGACCAGTTTATGGATGGAGTACTGAACAGCGGGGGGTCTTCGTGCCGATCCTTGGAGGGTTGACTGTCTTCAACGCAGTCCACGATACTCTCTCTCTCTCTCTCTCTCTTTTTCTTTTAGGGCTTCCCCGCGCCCACCAGGAACGACAAGCCGATATGGCTTCAGCATTCAGACCGTCTGCTGGCTTGCAGTTAGATGTCGAGTCATCATGCTATAAATTGCACCTTTGCCTCTTTCTCATCATGTCCATGTTCCATATGAGCGCATAGTCTCGATGAGCACTTTTGTTCTACCGGTTTTAACAGAATGTTCTTGGTAATGCGGACAGACGTTGGGCGTATTCGCGTATAGGTTCTGCATCATTTAGCGACAGCCACTTCTCCAGAGTAAAGACGTTGAACCAGGACCCGACTTTCTGGAACTTCGAAGCTGGATAAACATCCCGAGCAACGTGCCCAACCCTTGCCTACCATGACTATATGTGCAGCGCAAGGATCGGAATCCTAACCCATAGAATACCCTTGTTCTGACGGATACTCCACGCTTTATCCACTGATGTATTGATGGCTTAAAAGTCCCTCTGCTGATCTTCAGAGCTTGCCGATCTAGGTAGTCTCTGAAACATTTGATAAATTCCGGCCACCCGTCTTTTGAATCATCGATTCGAAAGCGGCGGTTCGGTCGAAGAAGACTTGGTTTGCAGAGTCATTTCATCGAGGCCAGTAATTGTGAAGATCGAGTTACCTGGTTTGATATAGAATCCGTCGGTGGTTTTGTTAGATTGGTGATCAGGCAAGATGTATTATGCTTCGCTCATTGCTGCGTGGGATCGACAGCTTCGCTTACTGCACACGATTCCTCCATCACCCGCGTTCTAATGGACCATCCGCAGAGCCGCCCAATCGAACAGCCGCGAAACAAGGTTTTCCCTTCGCATAATGCATAATTGCCATGTGTCGCCCACAACTAGGATTGGGCATACGTGCATTCCTGTCTGAACTTTGGAGTCTCTTGCGGTTCTTGGCCCAGCAGGGGCTTTTCGACTTTGGCGATGCCGAGAAAGGAGGTAATCATGTAGGATTTCGTGTACACTATCTCCAACTGACTTCGACGAGACAGCACCCGCAAAGCGCAATTATTGCAACCCGCTGGTATTTGGTTCGGAATTCCCTTGTGAATCTCCAGGATATCTGCCCAGGAAATTATTTCAAAATAGAAAAGACCCTGGGACTTTGAGACGATCAACTCCATATACCTTTGTACCTTGTTCAATTCTACTTCGGTATTGCCTTTGACGGGGTTGTCGTGACCGTGCCGAGCCAATAAAGGGGACTGTACCAAAAATAAATTGCCCGAGTAATTGCAGGATCTGACATGATATCGTGATACGTTCTCGTGACAGCGCATACGCTCTTCTGGAAGGGTTCGATGCGAGCACCCAGCCGACAGTGGCTCCATTCTTATAGACACCCCCCAAGATGGCAATGGGGGCGTCTCGAGTTTGTACTACCAGAGATCGGCAGCAAGCCATGGGTAGAAGCAATTGCTTAGCGCTGGTAACGTGTTCGTCAGGGGCGCTCTATGCAGCCACTCCTCTATCGGTAAATTTCTGTACATAGCTTCTGAGAAGCGGACCAAGTCGCAATGGCCTGCTATTGGCTGTGGCCGACCATACTGAAATGTTTTGATAAAGGAAAAATAATCATGGTTTCTTATTCGAGGGTTCTGCTGGCAAGTTGATCTTTCGGTGTTGGGATTCTTTTCGAGCAAGACAAAACTTTAACGTTGTTTTCACAGTACCAGTCCAAGAACACACGTTCCGCTGTCTCTTTGTTGAGAAATGGAAGAGTAAGATTCTGATGCAGTTGCAATGCTGGGTTTTTGATCCGCTAATCGCCTAGTAGCGACGAACTCGACGAACTCCCCGAGGAACATGACGAAACATTCGAATATCATGGCCGGTACTACCATCGCCTATCCCGTGATAATAGAGCATATTTCGTTCCTGTTGATGAGGTACGAAGTCTCCATGGGCTGAAGGGCCATACTGACATTTGACAGCAAGAAAATCAGCGACTGATGTGGATGCATCAGATAATCATGATGAAAACGAATCGTCTTGTATTGCCGAATCCCCAAGCTTTGCGCCGAACACTCGACTGCGGAACAGGGAATGGAAGTTGGGCAATTGACGTTGCCCATAATTATCCAAATTGTGAGGTGGGATATCCTTCTTCTTCAACCATATTTGACGAGCGATCATAAACCACTCATTCGAGCCCCTTCGATACACAATCAGGACCCAAGTGACCGTAAAAACATATATGCACCCATTGGCGTAAAACTCACTTCCAAGGAGCACCAGAAGAAAAACAACAACTTTTTTCTCCTCTCTGGTGCCCAAGCTTCGGTACCACGACATCAGAGTTGCTAATACGTGCACGTCAGGTTCACGCTGTCGATGTGTCGACCTTGATGATGCCTTTTGGGACACCAAACAATTTGTACCAGTATCAGTGCGATCTGAATGAATCGTGGGTAGTCCCTCATGCGCAGCGACACGATGCCCACCAAGTGCTGATGGATTGCATACAGTATTCCCTACGAGAATGGTTATTTTGATCTAGTGCAAAGCAGAATGGTCAACGACGGTATCAATGCTGATCGATGGAGCCAATACATCCGAGAGATACGGCGTGTGCTGGTTCGGAACGGCTGGGTGCAATGCCTTGAGATCTACCTCAATGTACAATGTCCGAGCGGCAACTATCCAGATGGTGAGTTTTGTGTGTCTGCTCGAGCCTAGGTACGACGAAAGCTGAAATATGACCAAGATGGTGCTCTGCGGCAATGGAGCAGTAGATATATGGAAGCAATGTCTCGACTGGGAAAGGACCCACGAGTAGGAATGCGCCTCGGGGCACTGCTCCGAGCTGGTGGCTTTGTCGATGTAGAAGAGACATCATTTGAGTTGCCGCTGTGCGAATGGCCTACGGGTATGCCTCAAAACACCCGACAGCACCTGACACAGCTAATGCGTGATGGCACACAGATGCTCAAGAACGTCAACTGGGCGCCTGGAACAAGGCGAACGTGGACGAGCTGTTGTATTCGCTCGCTCTATGGCCAATGACATCTCGCCGGGGACTCAGGTATGTATTCATGTCCTTCCACCATGGCCATCTCATACGTGATCTGGTGAATGCTGATGACGTTGCAGGATGCCTATTGAGAATTTCATTGAATTGGTAGAGAAGGCCAGGGTCGAAGCTGGCAATCCGGCATTCAAAGTAAGCATGGCGCGCGGCTTTTGCAAACCAATTGGAGCTGACACTTCTTTCAACTCAACAGCCGTACTTCACCGTGTAAGCGTCTCGCCCAGAGCTAGAAAGATTGGAACTTTGCTAACTTTTAATAGCTATGTAGCAATAGGTCGCAAACGATAAGGCCATGGTACGAGATCTGGCGTATTGACATCTTGATGTCTCAAGTTTGGGCGCTCGGGAAGGGATAATTTGTCGATGACAAGCATTTAACACGGTATCATGGAGTTGAATCTGGATGGTGAAAGAAGATGAAGGATATGTAATCGACGTTGCGAATGTAAGAAAGTCCGAGTGAGCATGGTGATGGGCAAAGAGGCAGCAATGAAGGTAATAAGTCAGATATGTACGTGGAATGTGCCTTGGCGATGATACATGGGAAGTGGTTGATTTAAAGTTTACACAATGTTCAAGCTTAGAGCTCCGGGCCTGTTTCCCCCGTGGCTTCCAACATTGCACACGACCGTTTCCAAAGTCTATCTCCCCCTCCCTCTCAAGATTACTGCCGGCATTTTAGGGGAATATGAGCCAGGTACGTGGGATGAGCAACATCCAATGAAGAAAAGCTTCGGAGGAGATGATTGGGGGCCGAGGATCGAGACTATTGCGATAATCAGCGGTGGCGGTGGGTGGTGGGTAATGTAATGTTCCTACCACAAACGTAGTAAACTTGGATACGTGGTCATAGTATGGCCAACCCCTTGCGAATTCTATCTTTAATGAAACTTACCTGGCCATGGACTTTTGATTACAGTTATACGCATTGTAAAATTCAGCCATGAAAGTCTTTGGCCTGCTTCTAATATTATAGTGAACTCTCTGTGTATCTAGAAATGCCCATGACACAATTACTGGAGACGCCATGTGACGGACGGGCTTCGCTGACAACAGCACCTACTGCAACGATGACAGCCAGGAACAGGATCAAACCAATTTGCTTCGACCCGAGCAGATACGAGATTGCGCACATATCACCATAGATGATATGCACCGTGGCACTCCAGGCTAGTCGTTGGTCCTTCAACCTCATTTAACAAGTTGTTCCCGTAGACATGCTTCAAACAATAAAAACAGTGACACGAGAACGTCTCCAAGTCTCAGAGTCTGCTTTCCAAGTCTATCAGACAATGGATAAGTGAAATATTGGAGCCGTGAGCTTTCTATAAATTTAGATATTCCACGAAATATGTACAAGTCATCCAGAGCTCGCCAGGTGAGAAAATAGTTGTTTACCTACCGGGTAGTTGGTTGCTAAGCTAGCGTCTGTTTCCGGCACCTATCCCGCAATCCGGGGCCTGCTGCAAGGGCCCTGGACCCGTCTTGAGCTCCCCATGCATCCCCGGAGACGTGATTTGACCAATCAACAGCTGGCTGTAAATTTTCCTCGTCCTTGAGCTTTCATCGTCAGTGCGACTGATAGGTCGAGTTTCGAATCATCTTTACCTTGACGGACCAGCTGTGTACAATCCAATTCGCTTTTCACATTGAACCATTTTCTCCCCAGGTTTAGATTGGGCTGTAGTGATCAAGCCTGTCACTTGTCAGCGGATTTATTGTATTAGTCGAAGCTCTGCGGATAGCTTTGGAGCTATTACCCCGTCATACGTCTCGTTCTCGGCTTGCTGTTCCTGGCTCCCTCTCAATCACATCCGACCAAAGTCGCATCACCATGGCCGCCTTCATGTCGAGACGGCTCGCCTCGAGCTTCATGCGCGCCCGCCCGGCACCCTCATACCCTACCGCCTCCCGCCGTCTGGTGCGTTTCTACTCGTCCGACCCGCCGCCGCCGCCGCTGCTGCAAAAGCTCAAGGGCGACCTCAAGACGGCCATGCGGGCCAAGGACGCCGCGCGGCTGACCGTGTTGCGCTCGATCCTGGCCGCGACCCTCAACGCCTCCAAGACGGCGAACCCAATCCAGACCGACGCCCAGCTCGTCGCTCTGCTGCGCAAGACGGCCAAGGCCTCCGAGGACGCCGCCGCCGAGTTCTCGGGCGCCGGCCGCGCCGACCTCGCCGACAAGGAGCAGGAGCAGATTGTCATTCTCAACGAGTACGTCTCGGGCAGCGGCATCCAGGTGCTCGGCGAGGACGAGCTGCGGACTGTGGTGGCTGGCGTCGTGACGGCGCTCACCAGCGAGGGCGCCCAGAGCAAGGCCAAGTTGGGAGACGTCATGAAGCAGCTGCTCGCTCCCAATGGACCCCTCGAGGGCAAGAGTGTCGAGAAGGCCGAGCTAGCCAAGATTGTCAAGGAAGTCATTGGATAAAAAGGACCTTTCATAGGGAGGGTGTCTCATGCAATAAAGCTAGAAAATTTGTACACAACATGTAACATATAATCAGAGCCCAAGAGCTCATGAGATGACATAAAAGGAAAGCGCATCCAGTCACTTATAAAGAGAAGGGGGGCCCAAATGGCAGCTCAATAGATGTAAAAATGCACCACTCAATTCTTGCGGTCTTGTCTAGGTTCGTAACAGTTTCTATCAGTCGCTGCATAAATAATTCACCCTTCATCAGACCGACCCGTTCAAGATGCTGATTTTGACGTCTAGCGACGAACATCTACTAGAATCTAGAACGGGATAGTCTGACGTTCAAGGAGCAATTATCGGGAAGGAGCCTGGAGCTGAGACTCCGAATCAGCAGACAGGTCTGTCTCTTTTCCATCTTTCTTTGGCTTCCAGGTCTCGGCATCGCCCAATCGATCGGCGGTGAGACCAGCTCGGCCTGGATACCTCATCCCAGCCTCGACCTGGCGTTGGTAAGATACGTTCCTGAGGCGCTCGGCTTCTGCCGGTGTAAGGTGTAGCTAATTTGCATGTTAGTTTCGCCATACTGAAAAGGACGTTTTCGGGCTATGTCCGCATCAAAACTCACATAAATCTCTATTCCCACGGCGTGTAGGGCAAACGCCAACCAGAAAGCTGGCCCAAAGGTTGCGTTAAAACTGGATCCAATCTCTGCAACGTTGCCATTGAAATTGGCGGCCACGACTGCTTGTTGAGCTGGGTTTGCGCCAGAGAAATAGCTGGCGCACTCTGGATACAGGCTCCTCGTGGCATTGGCACTCCCAAGCATATACTCAAGCTTATCGCAGGGCTGAGTGTGATAATAGCCGCCTATGCTGGAAATTATCATGGCAGAGAGGATGAGGATGATGCGCATGGTGATAATGGTTCCTACATCACCAGAGGTATACGTTAATTTTCTGCTCGGACTGTTTCCTTGTAGTATGAAACGAAGAAACGTGCTTGTGTGATAGGTCCCATACTTACCAGCGTAAAACCAAGCCCTCAGCATCCAAGCACGGTGTTGTTCAATCTGAAGACGCTTCACATTGACAACGGCCAAAATCAAAGATGCCACAAACATGATACCAATCACGCCAATACCCATCTGGACATCAATGCCACCTCCGACGCTGTTACGGGCCATCAAGAAGGCGCCAACAGTGGCGATCACGCTCAGTAGGAGGACAAGCCAGCCGTTGATCCGGTGTACAATGATGGCCTTGTGCCTTATTACGGGGATGAACTGTACGCACGCCAGCAACGAGGCTGGCAGAATACAGCCCAGGTGGAGGATGATGCCAATCTGATCGGGTCCGGGCCGGGTGTAGTAGAAACACTCGCCCGGAAGGGCACCGGAGGAGCCCTGGTCGCCACAAAAGACGCCCCAGATGTCGAGGTACTGGAGGCGGGCGAGGGTGAAGCCCAAGAGGGCTCCGAGAAAGATGAACCACAGGACAAAGTTGTAGCCCTTGGAAAAGCCAATGGGGTTATAGACCTTGCGGGCTCGTGCCACAAAGCCGTTGGCTGGCGGTCGGTCGGATTGAACCATGGTGTAGGAATTCTGCACTCGGTCTGCTTATAAGTCGGGATTGAGAGATGGAGAAAAGTTTCGAGTCCCGGAAGTGATGGATGCTGTTGTGGTGTACGTATGTAATTCTGTATGTGCTTCTGTCTGATAACAACTTTCTTCATCACGGGGCACAAGATCTATAGTTATAGACGACATTTTGACCTCCCAACGTAGCACTCGATACATAGTAGACATGAGCAATCCAAGATCCATGGTAAAATGCGAATGCGATTCGGCATAACTCAGCCCTTGTGTTTGTACAGAGCCAAGACCATTAGCCACAGTTTGTAGGCTCTTCCTAGAGAGAATGAATCGTGCTTTCATTAGTCCTTTTGATGCATACGCAGATTGTAGAGAAACGGTAATAGAGGCCTGTAACAGACGCTTTTTTGGATTTCAAAGCCACTGAGAAGCTGAGCTACGGCTGTCTAGTTGCGTAGGTCAGTTCCTTACTTGGGACAGCCAAGTGCATACCTACTCTGTGCACCGGCATCTGTGCACCGGCACTGGCCAACGGGCTGTGTTCGCACTCGCATGCTAGCGATCCACACAACTCCTTTAAACCCGTATGTGGACGGCATGTTTTTCGCCCGTCCCCAGTGGGCTATTCTTGTTAATCTGTCATGGATCGGCCATCAACCTCGCATCGGGACCTTGAAAATTACACTAATCTTGGACATTTGGCCTGCTGTGTTTGCTTATTATTCCTTTGCCCTTCCCTATTTTTCCATTCAAGTACCCGCATTGAGCTCGGGCAGTCTTCGATCCGCCGTTGCGATCCAAGTATTATCGAGCGATGCTGATTATATTTCTAGTTTCGCTGCAGATCATGGTTCGTTTTCAGGATGATGGGAGTGAAATCTAGTATGCGATGAGCCTCAGCTGAGTGCAAAATGGCGCTGGGCTGTCCAAGTCGTAATTCCCATGGTTCGATGTAATGACATCACCATACTTGGCCAATGGTTTGATAACGCTTATAATGCTAGTGATGAAGGGCTTACAAGGAGGGGCACTTGGTGCCACAACACCAGTCCAGTCCAAGTATAATAACAGGGCTAGTTTGACTACTATGTATACTACACCCCATAGGGCTGTTAGCTTGATCCTTCTGCCTGGGTCGACTTGACTCGCACTGGATCTTCTTTTGTACCCACCACGTTGATTTCCATTGATTGTGTGTGCATTTGGAAAAGTAGTCAGCTAAATTTTGTCCCTTTTCTGTGTAAACGTTCAGAATGTGAAATTCCGGCAAAGGCGGGAGCAGACGAGGTCTATTGTTGTACTCCTGCTATTACGTTATTGTCTATGGAGATGCAACAAAATGAAATACAAAGAAACACTGAAAATGCAATAATAATATATAGTCATTACCCAGTCGTAACGCCCAAAGTAAAAGTTTTAGTTTTTCACGCTTGAAATTGCTACTGCCGAGGATCAGTCCTCGAATTTAAACATAAATATAACAGTATGGCCCGGCAACTGTGCTCAAGTGGTGTTTTATAGCCAGCGGGTCACGGATGATGCCTAGATTGATTGTGTCTTCCAAAGTTGTGTTTGCGCTCGGTGGAGTGTTGAATACCGTATTGGTGCCCGAGATCTGTAAAGTGCGGTTGAGGGGAAGCTGATTTTGCCAGATCCACCACGTTCGGTCTATTTGGGAGTGATGTAGCCAGAACATGGGGTCATTCGGCGAATTGAAGAAGTCGCCTCCAGGATCGCCGCCGATGGTGTAGTGTCCACCGGAATGTAAGCCAAAGAATCCAGCATCAAAGTCTCCTTGAAGCCGGTCCTGGAAGGCTCCAATGCCCGTCTGATACAGTGGATTGGTCAACAGGTCAAAGGACTGCTGATCCGTAGACCACTGGCTAGAGACCCATGGTGATACATCACGGCGGATGCAACGAGGTTGATAGCCGAGGAATGATCCGGCAGTGACATTGGCTGCCGTCAGAGTTGGAGCGGTGGCTGAGATGTTGGCCATGATACCAACATAAGGGCCCGTCTCGACACAACCACCACCCTCACCGGGCGGGATACAATTGAGACCAGTGCCCAAAGCGTCGGTACAATTGTGCTCAGCATAGATGCCATTGCCACCTTGCGAGTATTCGCTGCCGTCAAAGTATGGCGAGTGGATGGGGTCCAAAGCTGACTTTCCCCAGTTCCAGTACGGCAGATACCCTTCATAGCCGCATTCATCCCTCAAGGCCTGCTCGAATGCCCACGAGAAGTATCTGTGCCACGACAAAAAGTTACCAGTGGCATGTATGCTGATGGTCTGATTCACGTGGGTTGCCACGAAATCATCATATCTGGACTTGGCTCCCGGGACTTGGTCGGCTGGAGTCTGAGCGGGCTTGGACATGAGACACTTGACAGCGTTTGTATAGGCAAGCTTTTCCTTGTTGGTCAAAGTAGAGCTGAACGGCAAGTCAGTAACAAGTACATGAACGGATTACATTAATGGTTTGCAGTACGCACTATTCACGCCTGACGCCCACCTCGAGAATGTTACATTCCTGCGAGACGCCATTGGCGGCGAGCAGGTCGGCTAAGCTACCCTCAGCGACAGATGCCGCTAGCTTGGCAAGACTTGCAATGGCGAGTATATCTGTGCTCAAAGTCGACTCTGGAGTATAGGAAGAAGCCGCTGATGTCAGTGCGAATAAAGCCCACAGGGACAACTTCATCTCGACGGGATCCTATACTGGCGCCCAATGAGACTAGAGAGAATGGAAGCGGGCGGAATAATGGTAAAACAAGGAGCGCTTTGACAAGACCAATCAACCCAGATGCATTGAAGAGGAAAGTTTACCCAACCACGGCCTATGGCTCAGATATATGACCTCGACTGTGGCGTGGACGAACAAACTGAATGTTACCCAAAACACAAGACAGAGAAAGACAAAGGGCCGTGTGATTTGGCCCCGATAGACCGAGTGGAACCATTGGACAGGGCCGAGAGAACTGATACATACATTGCCGTTGACCATGCATTGCAGGGTCCTTCCATCATGCAACACTTCTACCATGTGGGAGGGCTCCCCTGGTTTGTCATTCGTTGGTTCGAGGCTGGACAACTCAAGACGGCGTAATCATGATATGATGGTAGGTACAAGTTGTGGCGGATATGAATCCCCAATTCATCATGGCATCTCACCCTTGGCCCCTGCTGCAACGACTGCACTTGCCTTGAAAATGGTTCTCTTCTCCGTGAACTATCCGAATCTCCCTGCAGAATGGCAACCAACAGAAACATCCGTCGTCGTAGACTTTCGTCAATCGGCCATGTCAGCAGATCGACCACGAGGCCGCTCGGATCCCACGCGAGCAGAATTTACAATTCCAGATCATTGTGGAAAAAAGAAAGTAAACGAGGTCATGATTTCGTGTCACTATTGGTCGAAACCGGGTACGAAAAGGATAGTTGGCCTTGTTACTAGGGTAGGATTGCGTAGGTAATATGTCCTTGATTACACAGACGCATGCGCGCCAGGCGCCTCGTTCCAGGCCGTTGGTAAAGGAAGTTTCCAGACGGCAAATAGAGACATTTAATGGCATTGGCACGTTGCTAGCGACAGATGAATCTCGCTTGATCAATAGCACATGCTCGATGGTTGTTGGCATCTAAACTTGAGCGCCGCAATCGCGCATCAAGCTAACGGCACAAGACGGACGGCTTTCCGTAACCGAGAATTCAGAGTTGCTCCTGTGGAGATGACTTCTTCTTCTTCCCTCTCATCTTCTTTTCTTTGCCTCATCTGCAGCTAGCAGAAGCATCCCTGCATCGCATCAATGCTGGCCCCCAAGGCATGTGAGGCGACGGCGGTGAACGAATTCAAATCATCGGTCTCGGGCTACTGGCAAGCTACGGCAGGGAGGTTGCAGAGAGAACAGAGAACCAAAAGAAACACCGCGTGGGTACACACACGTCAAACATCGTACGTTGGTTGACGTCGGAGAAAAGGGACAAACCCACCAAGAATAGTCCACCAGATGTCTGTGCAGAACCAATATACACGTTGGAAGTTGCTCGACAAGAGCCATGTCAATATACTGCTGGAGGATCTACGTACATGCGACACACCTTTACTCCGTGCTATAGCCTCCACTTCCGACTATAGCCCACCCAACCTCTCGACTTTAGGCTATAGAGAAAAAGTCTGGGGAAGTGGGGACATATCAAAGAAGGTGGTGGTCGCGGGCCCCGGCAGCTCGTCGGATGATACCCCAAGTCTGCGAACGGGTTGGACTCGCAAAAGACCTCATCCATGTGTACATAGTAGTGATGGGTGTTGTCGCGCCCAGAGATTCTCGGACCCTGGCTGCATCTAGGGGAATTTATGCTTGCCCAATGAAAGCCACCCGTCGTCGTTATATTGTGCGCTGCATTGCGACAGCGGCACAGAATGACACTCACCAAAACGAGGAACTCTCCATATTGAGACCAATATTGAGGCGCAGTCAACTTGTTGGCGGAACACTATACGCCATGGAGCCGAGTGTAGTCGCAAGTCAATGGCACGAGCCAGGAAATTGACATTGGGCGACTGAGCACGAGGTCGACGGTTGTCAAGGCCCCCTCATACCCCCTTGGACAAGAACAAGAGAAGACAAGTTTCATTCAATTCCCAAATATGGACCAGGCGAGATTATTTCGGTTCGAGAAAGCAACAGCTGGGAACCAATAGGAATTGTGCCGCCAAAGTTTAAAGTTCTTGATTTCTTCCAGGGGCCTTTTGCACGTCGGCCCGGGCAGCGACAAGGTCCCGGTGTGTTAATCTCCTGGACATGAGAAAGCAAGGAGAGACGACAGACGGATCCACGCAACCACGGGAACGCGATAGTCTTTCACGCCAAGGCATTGGTGGTAATCCCCCAAGAGCGGGATACTAACTTTCATCGTGCAGATCCGGCTAATACAGCTCAAACCACTACTAAACCACCCTTGTGCGACCTTGTACGACAAACAGAGTCCAGGTACGGCTGCTGCTCGGCCGCTCTGCTGGCGGCATTGATTCCCAGGTCCACCCTCCTTGGTCTCTTTCCTTGGTCTTTTTCCTTGGTCTCTTTCCTTGGTCTCTTTCCTTGGTCTCTTTCCTTGGTCTCTTTCCTTGGTCTCTTTCCTTGGTCTCTTTCCTTGGTCACGCACCTTGGTCACGCACCTTCGTTTATAAAGCATTATAATCGCCAAGACGTCGCATTTTCTCTTTATCGATCCGGAGCTTGCGAGGCATCATGCGGGAACGGGCTGTCCCCTTGCGAGCGCGATATGCGATACAGTTGCCACACTCACTTATACCCACACACTACGACAAGAAAGTAGACACAAAGATGCTTTGCATGTTTATGAAGTGTACTCGATGCTTGAGAAATCACCGGTTGAATGGTGGCATTGCGCTGCTTCGTTCCACAAAGGCACTACGGAACAACCACCGTACATGATTGATTTCTGGTGCCTTGACATTGAGAGATTCCATTATACGCTACTCCATCATCAATTCGTTTGGTGTGGCGTCACCATTGTGTGGTGCGGGTCGAGGTGATCATGCGAACAAGAAAACACAAGCTTTTTCTCGTGTACCCGTTATAGAGCAACAACTCCTCAAACCTGGGTCCCTGGATGCTTGCAATCAGGTAAAGTAGATCCCGGCCGAAAAACCAAAGCAGATATGCTCGGTCCAACAACCCCGATGTGTGAGTGATACCGAACAAGATCACACCGTCTCTCTTTGAATCTCTTTGTCCAAGGCGAAGTTTGATATTTTGGCGAATAGTATCATCAGATCTTGCTCCGGCTACAATATCCAGCTTCAGAGGCTTGCCTTGGGTCGCATACTTCGGCTCAATAATCATTCTTGAACAATCGATGAAATGTTTGTGCAACGTGCCCAGCTTCAAATTAAGCATGTGCAAGAGAGCTTTTTCTCCTCCGTTTTGTCTTGAACTGAGAAGGGTTGTTTCGATATTGTAGGGTATGTCATGGATCCATTTTCAACGTCAACGTTTACTTGTATGCACCAAGAATTCTGAGATGATGAGAGCATGTCACACATAAAACTCTTCGAGCAACATGGCCTCTATATGCAGCTCTGCACATCCGCCGGAGCCAATTGCAAAGTGCGCCTCATTTATGCACACAGCAGCCTAATTATATTGCCTGTCTCGCTTATCCGAGCACCGGCAGCTCCCCCAGAAGAAATTTCCCGGCATGAAGGCGTTTTAGACAGCGGCCTGCTGAGAAAGTCAGAGGGTGCCAGGTCCAAACGCATACACCACGTTGACTGTTCCTGTCTCGCCTCTTACTCTTCCGTTTCCATGAAAATGCCCTTCTCTACCTGGTCGTGAGATATTAGAACAATTAGTATCCAGACGAGTGCGGATGACACGCCGCACACCAAGTCCTGGTGTTGCACGAGTTTATCCGCAAGCGAGCAGCTGTACTATAATAGCCGAAAGAAGCCCGTATATGTAATTCAGTTGAACCTTGGCCGTTACTCGACTCCAATAACTAAACGCACATGACGACAAGGGGGAAGACGAACAAGAAAGAAAGAAACATTACCAGAAAAGAGGACTTGTCAATGTCTCTCAGAGGATGGCAATGATTCAGGTACAAACGATTTGGCCAAGGCAGCAACAAAACTCGACGACGGTCTTCGGCCCTGGCGCAGTAGGAGGAGGAGGCGACAAGGCAACCAATGCCCCAACAATCAATGGCGTCGTGGGCGCCATGATGGCGCTTTCAACCATTTGTGTTACGTTGCGCATCTACGTACGGGGAATCATGATCAAGACCTTTGGGCTCGACGATGCGGTCATGGTGTTGGCGTTTGTACGTTCCGACCGATTTCCGGACAAGTCCTTTACACAAACAAGCATGACTAACGAGGGCCTCCATCGCATTACAGCTTGCCGCCGTTGGGTCGATGGTGTGTCTGGTGGAAGAGACAAAGTATGGCGCTGGTCGTCATTTTATCGATATCAGACTGGACGAATTTGCACAGCTGGCATTCTGGCAATATGGTACGTATTAATGGTTCATTTCTTTATATATCCACAACTTCACATATTTTGCTCAAAATGAACCCAAATTCTAAGATACCCCAATGACTTTGGTTCCTCAACATTGGCGGCAACTTGCTAATTAATGACTTTGTCTAGTCCATGGTCCATTGCTTGTCACTGGGATCAGCTTGGTAAAGATCTCCCTTGGATTTTTCCTGTTGCGTTTCGTACAGGGCCTCTGGTACACTCGATTTATAATTTTCATGATCGGTAAGTTCAACAAATTTATAGCACCAACTCCAGACTGTTTATAAAAGCGTCATGGATTGTGGCAAGGCTAACAGTTCTCGGTAGTCTTCCTGACGCTCTTCACCCTCACATGCGACCTCACTTTGGCACTACAATGTATACCGCCCGTCGCAGCATATACAATCCCACGACCGATAGATGCAAAATGCTTTTCGGCAGACACTTTCCTGGCAATATCGACGTTTAACGGAGGTAAGACCTTCTGGTAATTCTGGCGATGCAATAAGTTGAAACTGAGTTTTAGTAATGAACATCCTCACCGATGCGATATTTGTCCTCTTGCCCGTACCTATAATTATCAAGCTCCAGGTCAACCGAAGGACAAAGCTCTCACTGCTCTTTATTTTGAGTCTAGGACTCTTGTGAGTTTGCAAATCTGGCCAAAGGTGTCCATGTCTTTCTCAAAGCAATCAGCTAATGTCATAAAAGTGCCTGTATAGCATCAATCGTACGCGTGTACGTCGGCTCCCACGTTTTCGAAGATCTCGATTATACTTGGGCATATGCATTCTTTATATGGAATTAGTAAGACTTTTCTCAAGTTGGTAAATACTACCGAGGACAACTTTTAACACTTTGTTTTCTTTTTTCCCAATAGCGCCGAATTACACACTGGAATAGTAGCCGCTTGTCTGCCAGCCCTGAGACCTCTCTTCTCTTCGATCCTCGAGAACACGAGCCGGCGGCTACGCGCCACCGGCTACCTCTACGACTCGGGCGGCCGGTTCGCCCACAAGTATGGCGGCTCGCGGAGCAACCACAACCGGAGCGGCTACCACCGCCACGACGACGCCGTCGGACTCAACAGTCTGCAGCGAAAGCACCTCGAGGAAGGGGAGGATGTCGGCGGCATGTACAATGCCCGGGTGACGAGCACGAGCGGCACGGGCGTGAGCCGTAGTGGCGGCGGCGGCGATGACAGCAGCGAGGAGGGCATCCTGCCGCCGCCGCCCCGGGGCGCGGTCATCAAGACGACGCAAATAGTGGTTACCGAGGGAAGGCAGGGGGTATAGTGATGAGAATTACAAAAAAAAAAAAAAAAAGTCGTTCTTTTGTTGCGATATTAGGAAGCGAGAGAAAAAATTAATAATACAAAGAATAATCAACAACATGATACAGATTCTAGTGCTCGCGAGTAATGACACCATGTTATTCATCTGAGAAACAAGAGTCAAGCATCGGCACGAGCCAAGCCACTTCGTTTGGATTTTCGTGTCTTCACCTTTCATAGTCATGAACTGTCGAAAAGAGGGAAAAGAACAAAATAGGTACGAATAGTGATATATGTGCCAAGAGGAACCAGCCCTCCTGCTCCCAAGATATGCATGCAAGTCGATACAGACTAATCTCGCAGAAATGCATAAACACGAACCTATAACAATGCAGTCTCTAGCTCCTCCTCGATGCTGCCCAGCACGGCACGAAAGGGTCTTCTGGCCATCCGGCCGCGGTGATGTTGCGGCGGGAGTGGACTGCCAGGCCGAGGATCCGCCCTGCTGCTGGGCTCGCGGCCGCCTCGATGGGCCGCCGTCACCCGATTGAACAGCATCTTGAGTTGTTCGGGGAACGCCACTGTCACGGGCCTTTTCCGTGCAGATTGGAAGGCGGCGAGGGTCGTTTTGCTGTCCTGGCCGTGGAACATGGAATGTTGACGCATGGTTGGAATTGCAAGGTTATTGCGATGCTGTGTTCGTCAGATCTTGGCAATCTATTGCCCTGTGTTTGCGTTTTTTTTTCCTCTCCTTTTTGTCTTTCGTTTATTTTTATTTATTTAATTCCCCCTCGTTTCTTCGTCCCCTCTGAAGTGAATGCGAAATATCTGTGCTGTAAATGATCTTGCCAGGACGGATGGGAAGAGACAGTTGGATTTAAGACGTGCTGGAACAAAGACTATTCTTGCGCTAGAGAAGGCCTTGTCATCCTTTTGACAGCCATGTCAAACAATGGCGCTTGTTACTTTGTGATAAAGACTCTCAATGCACAAAGAATGCGGAAGGAAGACAAAGCATTCGTATGCCCGAGGTTAGATTCCAAACTCCTTGGGGACGCAAATCGGCAGCTGGAATAAATCATGCATTGAGACCCAATGAGATAGGAAAAATGTAAATCTATGGTCGCTATTCTATTCCGGTAATACCACTTCTACAATTGTACTCTATGTCTATAATAAGATCCGCAGTGAAGTAATCAGTCTTCCTGGCGGGCTTTGCTGGCTTCCTTGAGCCTGGCCTGCTTTTGGACCCAAATTACAGCCAAGGTCACAACTACTCCCAACGCACAGGCACAAATTGTGACCAGATACGCAGCCCTGTAGCATGACAAGCCCTCTGTACAATCTCGACTGCCATCGGGCTCGACAATGGAATGAGCATCGAACACCCAGCCGTAAAACAGATTGAAGATATTACTGCTAATAACCGGTGATAATGTCATCTGAAAGGAGAAGAGCCATGTTAGCTTGCTTCAATAACTCGTTGTTCTAGGCGGTAGAAAAGCATGGATGTTGGATGAAAATACTCACATAACCCCAGTTTTGACTGAGTGCATGGATACCGAATGATTCGGCCACGATCGACGGGAACACTCCGAATAGAAAACCGTAGCCGAGACCGCTGAATCCAGAAACGAATCCTAGCAGATGAGGGTTTTCAACATTCAAGGCAAATCTGATAAAAAAACCCATCGTTAGCCCTTTGCACTTTCATCATTAAATAGGCATGTCTGCTTCAACGCGCTTGCGAGCTGATTGTAGTTGACGAGATTGTGAGATCTCTTCATCAGGACTCAATAGTTCAACTTGTCCTGTGTTCACATGAAACTCACATTTGTGCAACTGAGAAAATCCCCGCAGCAAGCACGAGGCACCATACTCGACTTGCGTGCAAAACCTTGACCAAAAAGTCGGAGCCAGTGCCTAGCATAGCATGCATTAGTACCATGCTCGAGAACCATGTCGCGCCAAACTCACCACTCAGTAGCCTTCCGGTGAAACTTCCTATTGATAGAATAGAAACATGCAGCTGTTGTCGAAGAACAAGTGTCTTGTCGTCTATTGAGTCGTCCCAGTGTTTCCAAAGAGCAGTTGCATCATTACCGATGTTGCTGCCAGTCATTAGCTCATATTCCATGGATTATTTCCAAGGTTACGGAATCTGGCTCAACTTACTTGATAGTCATGAGACCAATACCCGACAATATGCCCATAATGGAGAACAATTGCCAGAACTCGAGGTTCCTCAATAGAGCCCAACCTCTGATATCTACACGATGAGAACGATCCAGGTCAACACTGTTCTGAAGAAGCAGGTCGCCTGGTAACGAAGAGGCCGAAGTAGAACGAGACATGAGTGAAGAGGTCTCATCTGCCTCGGCGACTTCCTCGACTTCGGCTGGTAGACGTTTTGAGTGGCCGGCGACCTCGACATCAGCGACACGGCTGTCCGAACTTCCGGGCTTGCCGCTCGACTCTGGCGCATCGGTCTCTGGGATGGTGCTATCATCAGAAGACATACCGGGCTCGACAAGCTGCCCGCGACCAGCGTGGGACTTTCTAGAGTCGTGCGAAATTGACCTGTGCAGCTGTTGTGAATCTGACAAGTTCTCCTCTGCATGAGGGACTGTGTGATAGTGACCATGCGGATAAACACGCAAAAAGAAGAAGCCAACAAAAGTAAGACCAAAAGTACCAGCAGCGAGCAATTCCAAAAAGCGGCCTGGATCTCCTGGGAAGAAGATGGAACCGACCAAAGCAAAGAAGAATGCGCTGAGGCCAAAAGCCGCCATTGGAAAGGCTGTGGCAGATCCGCGATGGTGCGGCCAATTCAGCGCGGAAGTCTTGACTGCAGCTGCAAATGCCAGGCAGCCTCCGAGACCCGTCAGGTACGAGAAGAAGCACATCAAGGGCACTGAGCCATGTCCAGCATTATATGCCGAGTGTAGAGGCCAGTATCCTACTCCAAGCAGTATAGAGCCGCTTATAACAGCGGGTCGAGGCCCTTTATTGTCAACTAGCATACCAACAGGCACGCCCATTGAATACATGCCCAGGTTGCCAAAGAGTCCTACCAGGTTGGATTCGGTCGCGGAAAGGAGCAATCGGTCGGCAAATTGAGGCGCCCATGCCGAGTATACATACTGGTTCATTGCAGTTAGCGACTATAGCAGTTTTGGACTGTATTGTATAGGCTCACATTGGTACCACAGGCCAGCGAAATGACCGTGGCTGCGACACTCGACACAATGCGCGCATTGTGCAATTGCTTGTCCAACGTCATGATAAGAATCCAGTTGGTGTGTTACGATATGCGATATCGGTACAGGTACAGGATGTTCGGGGTATATATGCGCGTGTGCGTGTGTCGGCGACTGGTCTAAGGAATCGTTCGCCAGCCAAGCGCAGAGGGGACTGACTGTCTACCGCTACAAGAGATGAGAGGTCATGTTAGGGAAGGGCGTTGACAAGAAGGAAACGGGGGGAAGCAGAGTAATGGAGCAGAAGATGTGGCACAAGCCGGGGAAGTTGGAACACGGATGTGTTGTCAGCGCCCGTGGAGTATGCCGGAGTCGCAATCGTGTCGGCTGCTTATCTCGCAGGTTGTCGGAAAGTGGTTGCGTTTCGGAGGGGCGCGATGTGTGCAGTGTGTACCTACCTAGGTAGTCAACGTACACTGTATGTCAGCCATACACAAGGGATGTTTTAGCAGTCAAATGGGTGCGCCATCCCCTTTCAAGCATTAATTGAGGCGGGGCGGGATATCACCTACTACGTACCTGTTGTACGTATAGTAGCAAGGCAGTGTACAAAGTAGTGTAGTGCTAAGGTCACGGTAATATGGAGCTTGAAGATCAAATATCACTGAGACATGGCGGAATCTAGAGTCTCCAATGTTCCACTAGTCACTACCCGTAACCTACGGGGGTCCTGCCAAAAGAATTTATTTATTTGTTGTAACGATTGCAATTCATAGTTTCCGACATTCAGACCTGGCTATCGAGAAGACCTGTCATATTGCGGCCAAGGCTGTACCTTGCGTCTTTGCTTGATGGCCGACATCACAGTGGGGGTCAACGTTCATTCCTGCACTACAGAGTACGTATCTTGTCTAGTTAGTTAGTGCCTAAATAAAGGTACAGGACCATCGATTGCACGACGTAATCAGGCCCGTGCACGTGCCACATGACCGAGGCGCGGGCATTGTCGCGACCGCCGGGTTGGTTGGGCAGGTAGAAGAAGCTTGTCTCAACGTCGCCATCGCAGCAGGCTTCAGTGCTGCTTCTCTGCCATCAACAATAATATCAATCTACAACCAGCCGCCTGCGCGCATATCACCATGGGCGCGCTATTGTCTCTTCCGCTTCTGGCGATCCCCAGCGCGGGTACGGTAAGTCGGGCGTTGAGTCTACTTGTCTGCCTGTAACACTCCAAACGAGCTTCATTTGCTAACCCCAATGTCGCAACTCTAGCTGATGTCTTTTGCGGCGAGCTGTTGCGGCGCTGCGACCTGCTCCATGGTTTGCAGTGCCTGTGGAAAGTGTGGCAACAGGTGAGTCCCCAAGTCTTGTCCCATATAAGAATGCGCGCGATCATGTCAAAACTAACCTGTGTATTCTTATAGTGTCGCTACTCGTATCGCATATGCCCTCATTCTGCTCGTCAATTCTATCTTGTCCTGGATTATGCTCACGCCATGGGCGATCGAGAAGCTCCAACACCTGACGCTCGACTATGTCAAGATCAACTGCCCAACGGGCGAGTGCTACGGCTGGCTGGCCGTCCACCGTATCAACTTCGCTCTTGGCTTATTCCACTTGGTCTTCGCCGGCCTACTTTTTGGTGTAAACAACTCCAAGAACCCTCGTGCTGCTCTACAAAATGGCTTTTGGGGTCCCAAGGTTATCGCCTGGCTGGCCTTCATCGTTCTCTCGTTCCTTATTCCCGATGCCTTCTTCAAGGTTTGGGGCAACTATATCTCATTCTTTGCTGCCATGGCCTTCCTGATCCTCGGTCTTATTCTTCTGGTCGACCTTGCTCACACCTGGGCCGAATACTGCTTGGCGCAAATTGAAGACACCGACTCTCGCGTTTGGCGGGTCGTCCTCATCGGCTCGACTTTAAGCATGTACTTGGGTTCGCTCGCCATGACCATTGTCCAGTACTACTTCTTTGCCAAGGGCGACTGTGCGATGAACCAAGCTGCCATTACCATCAATTTGATTCTCTGGCTCCTCATCTCCTTCATTTCTGTGCACCCCGCGGTTCAAGAGTACAACCCCAAGGCTGGTCTTGCTCAAGCTGCCATGGTAGCAGTATATTGCACATACTTGACCATGTCGGCTGTGTCCATGGAGCCCGACGACAAGCAGTGCAACCCTTTAATTCGTGCTCAGGGAACTCGCACAACCTCAGTTGTCATGGGCGCCATCGTGACCATGCTCACAGTCGCCTACACCACTACCCGAGCAGCAACGCAAAGTCTTGGACTCGGCAACAGCCGTGGAGGCATCCGATTGCCCGACGAGGATGAGCACGATCTTGTCACTCAGCAACCCGGCCGCAGGGAGATGCGAGCTGAAGTATTGCGCAGAGCTGTTGAGGAGGGCAGTCTGCCCGCTGATGCACTTCTTTCCGACGACGATGACGATGACGATTCGTCCAACTCAAAGACTGGTGATGATGAGCGCAACAGCACTCAGTACAGCTATACCGTCTTCCATATTATTTTCTTCCTAGCTACATGCTGGGTTGCCACTCTTTTAACTCAAGGCCAGGATATTAAGAATGACGGCGAGTTTGCATCAGTTGGTCGGACTTACTGGGCCAGCTGGGTCAAGATAGTTAGTGCTTGGGTTTGCTACGGCATGTATATTTGGACTCTGGTGGCTCCCATCGTTCTTCCTGATCGATTCGACTTTTCGTAAAGTAACCTGCTACAGTATCACAATGGCACTTTCAGGAGTTTAGGAGCTTGTTTCCCACATTGCAGCGGTTAGTCAACACATCATTGGTGCAGGCACTATAGTAAATTGCCTGTCAGTATCTGTCAAAATAGAATATTTCTTTGTTCTCATAATGATGATCACTGTGTCACATAGCAGACCTATGTTAGAGAGTGAACACGAACTACGTGGCATGAGGAACTACAAAGAGGGTGGCTGATACGAAACTATATATACAATCAACCGTTCTTTGTTCCCAGAAAGCCCCACCACATCACTCTGACATCGTGTCTCTTTGTCATCTATACAAGGACGGGGAATATCTTTATGCAATCCTACACTGTCTTGTCAGGAATCCTTGCACCGTTGAACTCTTGACCATGAGCCACACTGGAGTCAACATACCATTTTCATGATATATAAGTTGAACCTGTCGCCGCGCTTACATCGGCTTTTCTTCTCATCATTACAACACAGCAGGACAGGGAATAGTATTATCTGGAATAGAACTATTCGGTAAGTGTCCTGTCAATCTAAGCAAAGCTCTCACAGAAGAGCAACGAATCTACGCAATGGCTTCAGGAAAGAGAAAGAACGACGCACAGGATGGCGCCGCTGGCTCCAAACGACCAAGAAAGAATGAAATCCCTGCGACGAGAAAATTCGAGCCTCGCGAGAAATTTCGAAAGGTAGTCCAGCTGCCTAAACAGAATGGACCGCCTGCAAAGGACATTCACCTCATTCCCCTCAGCGACCTGAACATCTTTATCGGACTCACGAGAAAGGACATTCAAAGGCAGCTGCGCGCGCGCAAAGAGAACCTGTCCGAGAATGGCACCAAGGTCGAGCTCTATCTGCGGCTCATTGAGAGTCGCGATCGCGAAGCGCAGATCGCCTTCCGGGATCGGGAGGCCCGAGAATACGTGGAGAGGGCGGCGAGGAACATTGCCAGGGATTTCCAACAGAAGATCGAGTTGGAGCGTGCCACTAAACAGGTGAAAGGTTTGTTTCTGAGTTAGCGAGCCCTCATCATCGCCGCCGCCGCCACCTCCTCCTCCATCACTACCACCGCCTCCCCTTCCTCTTCCTCCTCTCCCGACCACGCCGCCACCGCCGCCTCCACGACCTACGAAATCAAAGACTGGACTCACTTTTTAACTCCACCCCTCTCTCTAAAGGAAAACCCCAGGTGGTTCTGAAGACACGAAATCCGGAATGATGCTCAATGCAATAATCCCATGTCGGAATTGTTCCCGCCATCTGTTGTAGAGGAGAGAGATATGCTTTGGTTAGTGCTGGACCCGAAATGATGAGAAAAGTGACGTGATATTGACAATTTCCAAACTAATGCTGAGCAGGCTTTTGGTATTGTCTTTGGGCGAGCATCGAGGGTGCTTGTGGTACCAAGGTAGGTAGGCAATCGGTCCTTTAAAACAGGCCGGCCCCCTCGTCTTGAAACCATGTGTTGAAAATGCTTTAGATTACTTGCTAGCACAAATAATGAAGTATTCTTGTCACAACCTTTGTTTGAGTATATTCTTAATGCCACGTGTTTTGAGAACCTGACCAAGTGTTACACACTATGAATTATATCGATTTAAGTGAAACCTGATAGGCACACGATGCACACGACTAGTTTGCCATTGCACGAGGAAGGACCAGACATGTCCCTAATGATGTATTGCGCTTCACTTTATTGTTTATTAACATTAACCCAGCCACTCTGGCAGGCTGAGTATTATCTCTTCTAGACAAATCAACGCGCTTCGCGTTGAAGAGATCGCGCTTGGTATCTTTGATGTGCTGACTTGTTGAGTCAGTGCTCCAGTGCCGCATCCAAGTCTGAATCTATTCTAGGCTTATCGGCAACATCTTCATGACCCCGAATGCCTCGCTCCCTGTACCCGTGGAATGGATTTAAATCATGTCCTGCTCCATTCCCATTTTATCTCCGTCATCTGTCAAGATGGTTGACGTTCATCTCGTGTTCTTTTCCAGCGACACCAAGCAGCTAGCAAGCCACCTCGGGAATGCTGTATCAAAGTGTCATGTCCCAAGGAACCAGGCGCAGAATTAAATAAATCAAGAAACAAAAAGCTCCCGCCCAAACACCAAGCCAACTATGCAGATGCAATGTAACCAGGAACATGTGGGAATAATAAAGAAAGAGAAAAACTTATATACCAGTGCACTTTCCTGCACGGCACAAGAATTGAACAAGAAGATAAATTCGAAAGGGGCAGGCCGGCTGGTTTCAAACCAAGTGGAGGCTTGAGCATATACATACGGCTTTACGTAGATATATATCACAGCAAAGAACCAACATGTAGGCCGTGTGCGACGTCGTCTCCAAGGGTTAGGGCATAAAACATCTGAGTGCAGTGGCAATGATCCTGTCTGCATGCTTTAGGAGCGGCGGCTTCAACTTCAGTCGTCCAGCAATGCTAAGCGATCGTTTATGGATTCTTGCCTTGTTTGCGGTGGTCTGAGAGATCACCATCGAACAGGGCTCTCATTCCAGCAACCGAAAACGAATCAGTCGTTGAATGAATTGCTACGAGCCAAGCTGCCACAATGTTGATCAGATAGTGCAACATGTAGGCATGCGACACGCCATAGACAGCCGCATATATGGCAATGCCGAAGAGCAGAAAGCTTGTCAGGTGTCTCAATCGACTTGTGAGCCGCGGCACCATTTTGCCTGTCGTCAAGGTCTCAACCATGAAAATGAAAGGCAGGATCGACAACACATTATGATGTGACGAGAATGGTGTGAACCACTGGACAGCTAGATTTCGTACCCACACGACCAGGGTAGGTAGGTTGATGGGCAGAACCCATAGCATAAGTAGTAGAATAGAGTGGACGTAGTTGTAAAAGTTCGAATTTCCGATGGAAGGGGCCTCGCGAAAGAAGCGTAGAGCTCTGACGCTTGTGCTAAGTTGCACTAAGCAAGCAACCACATATGCAAACTGGTAAGGTATAAACGTCGACACCAGAAACAACAATATGCTCGTCGTAATAAATCGACGCCTTGGTGAAGAAGGTATGAACATGGGCGAAAGGGCACGTTTCTTATCGTCTCTGTTTGTCCGAGTTCGGCTTCTTGTCATTACACCATATATAGTACAGATGATAGACGTCAGCAAAAGTGTTGCATAGTGGAAACAAATGCAAACTCCTACACATACGACGCCAATCATGGGCACCAGAAACCAGAAAAATGGATCCGCTGTGCCAATGAGGAGGTCGTTTTGTTGGAAATTCACAGAGCCTGCCACATTCTTCCACAACCAGGAGCCAGTCGAGGAGCCGGAATGGCCAACGGATAACCCGAAAAGGGTTAAGGACAGCAGAAGAAGCGGTAGTGACTGTCGAAGGCAACTATCGAGGCCATCCATGAATGAAATGAACACCCCAGTGTTGTCATAGACCCTAAATTGCTTTCGCAAAACCAAAGTGACCACAAGTAGCGGGAAGGCCGCAAATACAGTGCGGTAGCGCATGTACAATTTTCCAAGGCTGCCGTATGGGTCGACGCGCAGGCGAAGAGACAAGCCAGAGTCGCAAGAGGGATCTGTCCAAAACTGGAAACTGAGCCCGTCCTGAGAGCGCTTGGCTCTCATCGGTGGAGGCACATAAGGCGCAACTCCATGCAGGCTGACCTTGATATCTCTCGCGTTCACGAAGAATTTAGACTCGTATGGTTCGCTCAAATATTGCCGTACAAGGGGCGCAAAGTGTTCGCGGTTGCCACAAGACTGCTTGCTGATTTCCAGATGATATGCCAGCATGCTGCTTTTGACCGATGGTATCCTGAGCTCCGTCACCATCGGGTGATTTGCAGGAAGCTGAACTTGAAGCCCAAAGGAAAGCAGTCGTTGCAGACTGACATGGCTGGATAGCAGATAATTCTTCTCTTCGCTGAACTCGGCAACGAGCCAACCAGGAGTCGTTGATGTAGCTTTCTCAACGACAGCCACGAATTCATACTCGACTACATCTTCCAGATCGTATTGCAAATAAGAGAACGGCGCCAGTGGCTGCTCACCATCTCGATAAAATGGGAATTCCGTGCGTGCTGTAGATCTAGGAAGTGTAATCAGGTCGGGGGCGACGTTTTTGCAAGCGAGGCGAGTCGAGCCTGTGCTGTCGCCTGACAGGTCCATATTCATTGAAAACAAGATATTGGATGCTCCTGGTTGCAGGGGAAAGACCGTGCAGAACAAGACTTCGAGTTTGCCGTTGTCTCCAGCCAAGTCCAATTTCGTGTCTGTTAGGAGAGTGAATCGCTTTGGCTCCGAAGACGAATGAGGTGGAATTGGGAGGAGGTGCGCTCGCGGTTTGCCTGCCTGGCCGAGCTGATGGAGCACAAGGCGTTCTCCTTGTTTGAGAACGGTGTTGGAGTTATCCTCTAGAGTCAAGAGAATCTGTGGATCCGAATGGGAGAGAGTCTTTTCAGCAATGTCTTCCATTCCCGTCAATAACCACTTCTTGAACACTCTCATTCTCTCTGCCCGAGGCTTGGTTTGAGAAGCCCGGCCAGTATCGACGATATCATAGAGCACGCGCGTGATGACTTTGCGAAATTGGTCACACCACAAAATTGCAGCATGATCCATGCTCGTCCACACATTAGGAACCGAAGTCGTAAAGACAGTGAAGCCATGAGTCGCTGGGACAATTGACTCCACACTGGCGTAATCAGACGGAACGACGGTATCGAGTCCACCTCCAGCTATAGAAACGAGTGTGACATGCCACAAGGGATTGTTGTTGGCCCATTTTTGAGAATAAGCTTGTCTCCAGAAGTTGTTGATGTCGTCATAGGTTTTGATAATCTGGGAGTCGAAGCTTACTGGCGGTCGAGCATGGGGGGCGGACATGGTGATGATTGTGTTGATGGAATTTGTCTGGTAATTTGGCATAACCAGCATGGTTCGGGCTACAATGCCTCCCATGGAATGACCCAAGACAATTACAGAAGCTGGATCTGGCAGATCCGGATTGCGGCCCCTGGACATTTTTGGATCCAGGTAGAGAGATAATATATACCGTATCACTTCGTTCAAATATTCGGCCTGATCCAGTATAGTCTGTCCGTGAAAGGCAGTAAAATCCTCATTGAAGTCCACTGTGAAGAAATCAAGATTTTGTTTCCCAGCATCCGCTAACACTGGGTCGTGCTGCAGCACATCGTGAAAATATCTGGCAGCTTCGGCTGCAATAGGTCGGACCTGCTTGTAACTTCCAGCATTGCCTGGGATGAACAAAACCGGTATACCCGTGACCTACATCAATTATTAAATCGGCTAAGTTCTCTGTCATCTTGGTGGGTTTGCACATACCGTGTTGCCGGCAGAAATGCCACTCTCTCTGTAAAGGTACAATGAGTACTTGCTAGCAAATCTTGTATGCTCGGTATCAAAGTCACTCATATGAACATAACTTGGACTCATATAGGACATGCGGCAACCCTTGGAATCCAGCTGGCGTGTCCATGAAGAATTGAGAATGGCTGTCAGCAGTGATATGCCTATGACTGCCGTCAAAAAGGCCCTGAGGGTCATGCGCCATGGACTACGCATCCATGGCCGGTGTCCCGTCTGCCTCTTATCTGCCATCTTTTCCTCCTCCTCGCCAGTGTCACTGTCTGGGGAATTTGTAACCAGGATTGAGGTGGTATGTGGTTGCGCGAACGCCTCTTTCTCCAAGGAACCAGTGCGTGAGCCGTTTCTCGAGTGGGCCGGCTTCCAATTGATGTTACTGCTCTGACGCCGTATCCTTGCAAAAGAGTGTCTACTGCTTGCATTTTGCGCCGTCTTTTCCGGTCTGTCGGACTGCCGGTCCGAAGGCACGGTTTGCCCTACACTGCGCGAGCCGTTCGGTATCGTCTGTCGGCCATCGGTGCTGGCTGAGGGTGTCTCGACAGACGCAGTAATGCTATCCTCGGACGAACCTGACGAGCGCCTCTCCATGTGCCAAGCAAGAGGCGGGCGCGCCCACTGAACAAGCAATGGGGGCGGACTTGGTCAAAACCCCACTGGAATGTTTAGTCGTCCGTTCGTTCGTTTGTTCGTCGTCCGTTGCAGCCGTGGTGGAGAGAGCGGTACCGCCTGGAGCTGCGTTTTTGACAACGAAGAAGACGTCTGTTGCACATCAAGGAAGGGAATCCGGCCACTGGTAATGATTGTGCAAGCAGCAGCTACTAGCAGCAGGTAGTAGCACCAAGCAGACGGGCACTCGAGGCGTGGATTTGCGCAACCATTTACCAGTAGTGGATTTGAAGGGGTGCCGATCCCCTTGGGTAAAGAAGGAGAAGTCCAAGGGCCAAGCTAGCGGTCATGGGGTTGCAGAAAAGGCAGTGGAAACGAATGTGGGCTCCCGACAGGACCAAGCACCGAAGTAGCAGCGGGCTCGGGCGGCTGGGCCTACCTAGTGAGAATTGGGAACTCCCAGGAGGCCGACGACTCCAGCAAGCGAGTGGACGGGGGGCAGTTAACTGCAGGCGCGCAGTGAGGCGTCGATCTGTTTGTGTCCAGTGTTTTGGGCTGGCGAGAGAGGGAAGAAAAAAAAGGTTGATCGTCGGCTGGGCTGGCTGAACGGAGAGAAATGTCGATACTAGGTGCTACTAATTGCGAGGACGTCTGTCTAGTTGGGTAGCTCCCATGCGTTTCGAAATAGCCCGAAGAAGCTCATTCGACGGATGTTTCGCGCGCAATGCAGCCTTCGGTGGCACAAGTAGCTCTGTTTTTCTTTTCTTTTCACTCACTAATTCATCTTGTTTGTCCACAGTGCTTCCAAGTTACCAGGCCAGGTCACACAGGTGGCTGGCAGAGATCAGTACGGGGCAAGGCTTAAAGGCAAAAACACCAGCTCAAAAGCGTCTGGGGGTACGATGACCACTGCCACCCACTAATCATTTCCACCAAGAAAGTCTACAATGGTCCACTTTTCTTTTTCCTTATACTGTGTAATAGACCAACCACTTCAGTTGATGTACTCTATCCGCAAGGTAGGCAAATGCCACAATCATGAGATGCCGTTCGGGAACTGATGCATAGTCTTCCACGACGTTGCTTGCGATATCTCTTGAGTAACGAATGATGTGACTTTGGTGCCTTTACAAATGCTGACACCACCGGCAGAAGCGAGAGTGGTTTGCGCAAGGATGTTTCTGATGGTTGCATGCTACTATTTACATACGTACCTCCATATCATCTGTGCTGCATTCGTGTGCAGTTGTGCCAGGGTTTGTGACCGGACTTGCTGGGATCCTGCGGAATACTGTGTGATGCTGCTGCTGCCTTTTTTTCTTTCTCCCTCCCTCCTCCCTTGATTATTCTCGGTCAAAACAAGTTCCAGGTTGGTGATTCCTTATCTGGCGGCTCGAAAGAACCTGAGTGATGCGCCATAGCTGGCTTACCCATTCGTGACCCTCTGCTTAGGTAGAATTACGACCATCATACACATGTATCGAATGACACGATCGGAATAAAATTGCATACTGAATGTAAGTACATGTAGTTGTGTCAGGTTCACTACTATGTACTCGGGCAGATTAACTTTCACTATCTCCTAGATAAGCCGGCCAGAGTACAATCTAGTTGATTGACCTGCTTCAACGTGACCAGTTGATATAATTAGACTATTCACTCGGGCAATTGAGGATCATTTGGCTTGGCGAGCCAAGCAGAGATAGAATAATGTTTCGAGGAATGCTCGAGCCTGTAGGCGAACCCGGCATGTTTCATATACATTGCTTTTTTCAAGGCGCATCACTGCGAAAAGACACAATCAGGGACTCGGTTTTGGTTTCTATGAGGTATACTATTAGTTGCTATTATGGCATTATACTGCGATGTATTGCATTGGCTCTAACGGTGATCACGTCCCGAGTTGCGGTCCTGTAATGCCATCTAAAGTCGCTTGATCTTTCTCGATTTATTCAGGGCAAGCAGCCCACTTTGGCCAGCATTGAATATAAGCTTGTATCTAACAAGACTCGCAATTTGCAGGCTCCATCAATGCTACTCATGCAAGTGGATTCAGGTTTCCCACCTCTCAACAATAGGCCAAAAAGTCTGGAACTACTTATCTTAAACTCAAAGACTTTGCCTGTAGTTTTATTGTCGTCACTAAGCGGCCGTAACCCTTTTCGCCCTTTTTCGTGGAAGTTGCCTTCATCAACGCCACGAGACCTCAAGCGGATCAGCTGTCCAGGGCCAATTCTCAGCCTTACTATTCACGGTCAAAGTCTGCCACATCAGTTACGTAGACCTGCACAGGTGCAGCTCGTGTCGGCAACAGCTCAGAAGAGGCTGCATTGATTGACGGTCCCTCGCATTCTTGAACGGCTCCGACTAGAAAACCCCGACTGCGTATCCTACCCTGCCAACCTGGCACCCAAACCGCCATACCCACCACATCGACACAGCAGATTACAGGGATAAGGGCCGTTCTGTACTCGTATACCTCACTGAGTCTTGTTGGCCGTTTGTAAGTAATGTAGATTCAATCATCTGTCGCCAGCTCAGACTGAGAAGGGCGCAATGAAGGTTTATACGATTGATACATGAATCAGGCTGCCATTTGGAGTGAAGCTATTGAAGGATGTCTTTGGTGCTTGCTTGCAAATGTGTAAGTAAGCACATGTGCATCAACGATCTATGTCGTGCACTCACCACGACGACTCCCGGTGGTGACATGTTTCAGTGGTAAATGCAGTGGGGGTTTTTCTTCTTTTTTAGCACGTCATCCGAGCGCCGTCGCCGCTGGTTCCGCACGCTGGAAGTTCTTCGGATCGCACGCCAAGCCAAGCCTCCAAAGGCCTCTCAGGGATATCTACTGGATGAGACAGGGATGGGACTTGAGATATTCCCGAAGCTGCCGGCTGGACCAAGTGCTGGCACTGGTTTTGCTTGCTTGATTCAACTGATACACTGAGATTGACCATGCATCCCATTACGATCAACCAACCGTGCCTATCCGTGGCGAAGATCCCCCGACTTATGGATATCAAAGACAAAAACAGCTGTAGACTCATCATGTTCGGCCCCCCCC